CAGTCTGAAACACCAAGTCTTGCTTCTCTCTGTGCTAACAACAAACTGTAGTTTTGACTACGATCTGTGCAATAGTTTGCCATTTATACCCTTATATATTAAACAATAAGTATCCTTGAAGAGAAAAAGTGAGGAGAAGGCAAATATTCAGTGTATCCTAGCAAGGTGGTTTAATCTCTTCCTTTCCCAGTGCTTCAGTGCTCATCAGGTTTTCCATGACAGGCGGCTGATGTCACCTGAGCAGAAAACTTTTTGTTTTCTTCCCACTTTAATTTCTTTGCATTACTGAGTTGAACTAGCTCAGCAAGGGCTTTACAAGCATTGTGACTAATAGAAAAGAGGCAGGAGGGGTGAGAGGGAAGGGATATGGAATCACAGAACCATTTGGGTTGGAAAGGCCATCAGGTCCAATCATCAACCTAACACTACCTATACCAACACCAAGCCATGTCCCTAAGCTCCACATCCATGTCTCTTAAGTATCTCTAGGGATGGGTACTCCACCTCTTCCCCAAGCAGCCTGTTCCAATGTCTAACCACGAATGTCTAACCATGAAGAAATTCTTCCTGATAACCCAGTCTAAGCCTCCCTTGGTGCATTTTGAGGCCATTTCTTTGCGTCCTGTCACTGGTCACCTGAGAAAAGAGACTGATACCTCCCTGTTGCATCCTCCTTTCAGGTAGCTGTAGGGGGTGGTGGGATCTCTTCTCTGCCTCCTTTCCTCAATGCATCCTTAGTCAGTAGCAACTATAGGTCCGATCAGGCATGTCCTTTGCCAAGGACAGGGAGGAGACCACATTTCTGGCCGCCAAGAGAGGAGCAGGTCAATCCCTTTAACTGTAGCAATCCACTTAATCAGGTTAGTGACATACAAGCAGGCAATTTGCGCTGTGAGCTTAGAGAGCAAGAAGATCAGTGGAATGAATTGTATGATAAAATTAAGGACATATCATAATACAACAGCATTCCTGCAGGCAGCCCAAATGCTGACGCTGTCAGCTTCTGCATTCCTTGAATTGCAGCGTTGTTCCTACAACAGGGGGGTGCAGGCATGAGAGAGGTTGTGGTGCTTTGATTCCATTTGGGTATTTCGAAAATACAGTTTGTTTTGACACATGGGATTCTCCTGAGCCCCTTGTAAGCACTGTGGTAAGATATCACAGATCAAAGGGAACAGAGTGGGGCAAGAGGGGAAGGAGACTGTGTGGGATCCAGCTCTAAAATGTACTCCAAAACGTACTATAGGAACATGTCACTTTCCAGTCATCGGCCCTTCATGTTTATGTTTATGTAAGTTTATCCAACTTTCCCTTTTTTTTTTTTTCCCTTCAATAAATGGCTTGGGCTTTGCAGCCCACAGTTAGGATCCCATCATGTGCATGATGAACTGAACGGTCCTGCTGCTGGTGTCTTCAGTCTCCGTGGCCCACAGGAGAGACCTGCATGGCCAGGAAAGCAGTGCCTGCGCAGAGGTGGCAGTTCCCCTTGCCTCAAGCACAGGGTGCCCGTGTAGCCGAGGTGGGAAAACACCTCTGGGGATAGCCACGTCCAGATGCAAACATCTCCGATCAGGAAGGGAGGCTGCTCCTGGCTCCTGTGTCTGCTGGGGCCATGCCCTCCCTTCTCCCCCTGGGGATCGAGCTGCTCCCAGGGGCTTTGCAGGGGCCTGTGCATGGCCCAGAGACACTGCCTGGTGCTGGGACTGTGCGCAGGTCCTCACCATGGCCCTACGTGCCTGTGTTCGTGCACGAGCACTCGCCTCCATGCTTTCTCCTTCCCCCAAAGGGAAATGGGCTCCAAACAAAGTAAGGGCTGGGGGAGGGGGCATGTGAGGCTTTGACTCTCGGCGTGGCCTTGCTCACGATTTTCCTGTTGGTGTTTTGTCTTCTTGGCATCCTTCCTGTCCTTTATGTATATGCGTCCTATAGTGTCGGTGCATTGTTTCCCCGTGTATGTTGCGTCCTTTGTTCTGTAAAGCACCGACGTGGAGAAGTGTTGCTTGCAGGCTTTGTCTGGCAGCCCCGATTTGCTGGCCCGAACGCAAAATTTGTGAGAGTAACCGGAGAGAGTATTTCTGTGAGCACCGAGGAGAAGAAAGTGTGCGTGGGCTTTCAGCGCAGCGTGGCTTTATTCCTCTTGGACGAGAGTCTGACCAGCTGCGGGTCGCTCCTGCTGATGTGGAGCCTCATTGTTTGTGTGCACCACCGTGGTGGCTGGGGTCCCACTTACAGGCTCGGATCCCGTTTCTGTGCGAGGTGCAGCGTAATCGGAGCAAAGATCTTGAGACGTGGCCTCCAGTGCACAGCAAGGGCAATACCCACCCCCAAACCACAACCCCATCGAGGTACACTTGTTTCGTTCCCCACAAATGAAATAGCAAAGCAGGCTGGCCTGGAAGGCTAAAACAAAGGACAAAGCTGGTTTCTCTCCCTCCCTGAAGAAGTTTAGCTCGTAGCCCTCCAGCAGCCCCCTCAGCCCTCTGGATCTAGGGGCGTGCCTGCTGTTGGCACCTCTGTTTTACCCACCAGTAGCTCTGGGAACACCACGCAGTGCCCGGTGCCCTGAGGCAGATGTGAGCACTGCCGGCGGCCTTTCGATCATCGGAAGTGGGGAAGAGGGCATCTGGGAGGCTGGGGGGGTGGGGGGGTGGGAGGAAAACTTAAATTAGCAGAGAGTCAAACAGCTCTTGCTGGAGACAGATGATTACAGCTCATTTCAAGGCTGCTTCCTGCATGCCAATGATAGATCAGTAAACAAACGCCTCTCCGCAAGCACAAAGCAGGCAGGAACTCTGTTTGGGAGAGAGGGGTCGGGGTAGGTCCCGCTCTGCTCGGTGGCAGGAAGCCCCTATCACATGGCCCTGGGAACCGTGAGGCCGGGTGCGAGGAGAGGCTTCTGCTGGGAGGCTTCACATCCTTCCCAGAGCCCCGCCGGCAGGTTCGAGGGCTCCCTGCCCTCCCTCTTCCCTCCCGCCTCCTCCCCTGGCCTTCCTTTCCCAGTTTAATTTTGAAACGGTATCAGATGGCGGCTTTGTTCCCCCAGACAATGGCAGGGATTACTGAATAAATCGTGGTGCTGAGGCTCCTCAAACAGGGCTTGGCACCTTCTCTCCCCTTTTACGGCCCTGCTGCCCCACGGTGTACGTGCTGGGAGCCGTGGCTCTGGGCTCGGCTCTGCCTCACCTCGCGTAGCAGAGAGTTCGTGTGTGGCTCATGCAGAAAGCTGCGGTAGGCCAAAAAGGACCTGCTTGGTGTACGTCTGTCCTTCTCGGGTTGCCTGCAGGCTGGACTCGGCCCTGTCGGTGTTCCTCTAGGCGGTTTCAGTGCCCTGGTCACGCTGCACGTGAGGCAGGAAAGCAGACAGCGCTTCTGAGGCTGGTCTTTCTTCCCCAGTGTCCTCCCGCTGTGTCCACACACCCCCATCTCCTGCCTTGTACCAGGTCAGGTGTGTTGGACCCTGTCCATGAGCTGCTTCAACTAAATTGATCATTGATTTAAAGCAGGTCACCACGGGGCTCCAAAGAGGCAGCGCACGGTCAGGGTAAGATTTCTTACCCCTGCAGGCAGTGCCGAGGCGCAGCACTCGCTGCCCTTGCTGTGCAGCACAGTTCAGTCTCTACTTATCTGAGTAAAGCCCATCCCTGCTCCGGGGAAGGTGCAAGCCAAGTGCAGAACAACCTCTGTTGGCGTTTTTTGGAGGAATGTGCTCGGGCTGCCTGGGTGAGTCATCCTTTGGATGGGGACGCGAGCGGTCAGTAGTTTTTCATTATCCTCAATCCATAACAGTTAAGGGATGGATGAATAGATTTTGTTCCTCGGGCTGGTCAATTTTGCAAGGCTGCTCTGTGTCTAGAAGTGAAGCGGGTGTTTGTTCCACTTACTGATGAGGAAGAGAAGCCAAGGGGGCTTATTGTCTGGGGAGAGGGAGCCTGCTGAATGGTTAGCCATGGGCTGCCCTGCGTGTGTACACACTGAGTTGACCCAGAGTTCACTCCTCATCTTAGGAACGTTGCCAGTGGGGGATAAAAGGAGGGAGAGAAAACTGGAAACAAACAAGACAGATTTTTTTTTCTATTTTTTTTTCTTTCTCTCTGCCTGGAGTACTTGTACAGTGGAAGAGAGAGATTCTTTTGTTCTTCAGTGTTTTGGTTTGATTTCTTTTTTCTTTTTTTTTTTTTTTAACTACAAGAGCCTACTAAACTTCCCAAGGCACTTAGTCTTGTTGCCAAACACTGGGCATGGCGGAGTAGCATCTGGCAGAGCAGCTGGGAGGATAGATTTGAGAGGCTTCAGACTTTCCGAGTGTTGCGTATTATGTGGTGAGCCCCTTCTTGTCCTGGAAACACTGCAGAGCAGGCAGGCTGCCTAGAGGAGTAAGAAGGTGGTGCTGCAAAGTACCAGCCCTCTTTTCTATGGAGTAAGAGTGTTGTGGGGCAATAAAAAGAAGTCTGTTGTACTGACTGTGCAGCAGCAGTATGCGGAGGACAGAGAGGGACGGACTTGCTCCATGAATGATAGAAGGCAAACAGAATTACTCGTTTTTGTGACTGATTTGTCTTGCCCCACAAGCTGCTGTCCTCTGAAAGCAGGTCATTAGCAGCCTGACATGACCCACAAAGAGAATAGTGTGAGGTAACAAGTTGCTTCAGTGCAATGTCTGGTCAGCAGAAAATGTTTTCTCTGCTGGTCTGAGGACGTTGTGACAACTGCAGGAGCACTAACTGTGTGGCCTTAACACTGTGCTTATTAAAATCATTTTTGTTTTAGTCTTCTGTGAGGAAAGAAAATCTAAATCCTTTGACAATTTGAATATAATAAAAGTGTTCATCAAATATGCTCCCATTTTACAGGTGATGAGACGGAGGCTGTCCTCTGGGAGCTGCCTGATTTTGCTTCTCTTCTTCTCCTGGATTTCAGGAGGAAACATGCATGTGTGTGTTTGCAAAAGCAAGGAGGATGCTGAGCACAGAGCAATGCCTCTTCTTTGTGTCTGCCTGCAGGTGACCTGCTGCCCGGCTGTGTGCTGACATGATGACAGCTAGCAAGGCGGCCGATGTGAGCAGCAAGACTGAAAGCAGTGTCTGCAAGTCCACTGAGAGGTGAGAGCTTTCCATGTCTCAGCGCCAAGGTACCTCGCTTTCATTTGTTATCCCCAAGAGAAAGAAAACCAGAAGAAGAAAGCATTCTTTCTGCTCTGCCCTGTCCCTCTCTCCTCACATGTTAAGTCACGCCGCTGTGTGTCTCAGCTGGTTTCATTGCCATTTCAGGGCTGTCATGCTGTGTTTTTTAGCATCCTGTCAGAGCAATAATGTCCTCGACTCATAGCGCTAGAAGAGATCTGCCCCAAGACAAGACCATGTGTGCTGATGACACCTCTGTCAACACATGCCCCACCTGCACTTGAAATCTTCAGCAGTGGAGATTCCATGGCTTCCCCACACAAGCCTTGCTGTCACCACAGGCCTCTCCCAGTGTACAACCTGGGTTTCCACTGCACAGTCCAGCATTGTCAAGCCCACTTCCCTTCACTTAAAAATCCATGGTGTTCACAGTGCCGGTTCTTGACCAAATCATGATGTTGTCACTGAGACAGCCAGGAGTTAAATTTCTGTGAGGCTAAGGAGGAACAGTATCTGGCTCAGGTCCTCTTTCTGCTCAGAAACCCATCCCAGACTCAATTTGTGCTACAACAGTCTGCGATGGCTGCCAGCGTTGCTTGACTCCAGGACAAAGCTTAAGGCCTGCCAGCATGCAGGGTATCCAAGTGAATGCTCTTAAAAAAGTGCTAAGTTCTGGAAGAGGCACACTTGATACGTTTAGGTTAACAGCAATTCACTGAGTTGAACCCCAGTGCTGGAATTGTGGTTAAATGGGACTGATGACAAGGGCTGGCATCTCAGTAAGTGCCTCGTGTTGTGCTGATGTTCCTTTCCAAGCCCAGGCATTGCTAAGCACTGAAAATTACTTTGGTTCAAAAACATTTGGTGTCGGAGTAACTATTTGTCCAGCTGGAACTTCACAGTGTTGATACAACAGCACTTGGAGAAAAACTTGAAGAAAGCACTTGGAGATCCCCAGATTAAAGATAATAGGGATTTTTGATGCAGGTTGGACTCAGACAATGACAATATTTAATCCCTTGCTGTGAAAACATTGAGTCTAGTCCCCAGGTGCTACGTCACATGCTCTGGGCCAAGGGAGTGTGCCTGGATGTGTGGGAGTCCGAGCCCACGTGCAGCCTGGGATGGTGAGGACATAGAAACGTAGTAATAAAAGTGCAGGGTTTGTGCATTAATGTGCATGTGGGAACATTTGGATGAATCCAGACAGATCCTCTGAGCAGGCTCTGAAGGAAGGCCAGCTGAATCACATGCTTTCTCCTCTTAGCAGCTACAATTTTGCTGTTGGTTGCAAAGGGTCAGTTTTGTGTTTGTTTGCAATGGATCTGCTTAATGCCCCAATGATGTACAGAACTGCTGCACATCTAAGCACACATACAAAAATGCTGTTGGCTGTTGAACCTCTCATTAGCATCAGCATATCTGATGTACAGAAATCATTACCTGCCACCTACTTCTGCCACAGACAAAGATTTCACTTTTCACACTGTTAGTCATAACAAGAGCAGAACATTCTGTTCCACTTACAAAGACCATTCCCATAGCATTCTCCCCAATAAGCCTGTCTCTCAAGCTCTTGGTTTGAGCATCCTCTGGTGTTATCAGCTTTATGAGGTAGAGCTTGTGGAGCTGATGGGCTGAGGCAAGGGTGAGCAATGGCAGTGAATGTTTCTTTTTCTCTTTGGTTTGTAGGATCAAGCTTGCGGATAAAAACAATACGGCAGCTGTGAAGAAATTAGAAAGACTTCTGTGTGGATTTTCAAGTGAGAGATGTTCTGAAGGTGCCTCTGTCAGCCTGAGTTTAACGCCTGAAGCTGAACCAGTTTCTTGTGTGGTGAAGAACCCACTCGGAGCCTTGGAGAACTTGATGCTGGATCCCAAACTAGACTGCTTTCAGCAGAACATGCTTAGTCCCAAAATGATCATCAGCGACCCGTCTGTGGATCTGAATGTTAAAGAAAACAGTAAAATCATCAGGAGGCAGATAGGAGGTACTCAGAATATACGGTCACCTGGAAAAATTGGCTTGAGGAATAAGTCCTTTAGCATTAAGGACAAAATTTCAGAGTGGGAAGGGAAAAAGGAAACACAGTCTGCTCCTCGCCGAGAGGAGGAGCAAGGAGCTAAAGAGGAGCACAAAATACCCTGTGTAGTTGAGAAGACGAGTGGAGAAGCACTGGTGACTCGGAAAGTGGAAGCCAAGAGGCTTACGAGCTGGGAACTGGAGTGCAAAGGGGCAGGCAAAGAGAATGAGCGGAAAGCAGGAACTCCAAAAGGGCAGGGAGCAGAGCGAAAGGGGGAAACAGAGAAGGATGGGGAAGTGGAATCCGGCATTGGAAAATGCAGGGAAGTGAAAGGTGGGAAGTGGGAGGTGCAGAAGGAGAACGTTTCAGTGCTTAGTCAGGTCAAGAAGCTAGAGCAGGCTTTGAAAGATGGCTCAGCAGAGCTGCAGCCGCAGTTGCCTGGTACTTACTACTCCCCACAGTGCCTGCAGGAGAAGGCAGCACAAGGACACGCTGCTCCAGAGGGCCATGAGAGCGTATGTGGGGCTGAGCTCAACAAAAGACTTCTTGGCTTGGACTCTGAAATCAATGAGCCAATTTTTGGGACTCTGGAAGAGGTAAGAACTCCTCACACGAAATCCAAGGACTGCAATGTGGAAAATGTCTACACAGAGCCAGGGGTGCCGGAGAAGAAACCCTTTATCAACCCGCTGCCAAAGCCCCGTCGGACTTTCAAACACGAGGGGGAAGAGGACTGGGTGCCAGCAGCTAGGAATAAAAGGAACTTACCCCCTCTGCCATCTATTCCTCCTCCTCCTCTCCCCTCCTCTCCGCCCCCGTCAGCCGTCAGCAGGAGGCTCTGGAGCGGGAAGCACAAGAACAACGCTGACCACAGGTACTGGGGCTGCGTATCGCACAGGTGCTGGTCTTGGTGGTGGAGTTCCTCCTTCCCACATCTCACTGGGAGAGCTGGATCTTCCTGGGTCACACATAATCCCCAGTCCCCCATTTGTTCATTTGCTTTGTTGTTAGCAGAAAATGTAATTACGAAATGAATATCGCTGATCTGGAGCCAAGTCTAGAATGAGCATTTCTGGGCTCTACCGCAGCATTTTGGCTGTTCATAGCATACCTGTTCTCCTAACTGAATCTGATGTATATATATGTTCCTGGGGTGCCTTCTTGTTGTTTTTTCTCCACCCCCATGATTGTAGCACATTTTTGAGGTGGTAGGCATAGAATACACAACTGTGCAAACAGTCACCTAAAAATTCCTGGTTTGGTTGCAGGAGGGAAACAGAAACTCACCAGGTTTGTTGGTGGAGGACACTTAGTATACTGAGTTTTAACTCTTTTTGCCATCCAGAACATGACTTTCACTCTCCTGTACTGCTCGGAGGGTTGATTTTGGGGCCCCCTTACTCCTGCCAAGGGTGGGGTCTGTGTTGTAAATGGAGCCTGTCGTGGCCTCAGGTTCCACGCAGTCTTGCAGGATGCGCCACCTCACACACATCTTCACAGTGTGCTATTGCCATGACAACCCCAATAATCTCTGGCACCTCTGAAATGCCTTCAGTTGTGTGGCTGGTAAATGTAACAGATCTCAGTGTTTCATTCTCTGCATGGAATGGGACTGTGCACTGTTCCCTCCTCAGTAACCCACTTTGGCAGGTACATTGTGTGTTGGAGAAGTGAATTATGAAGTGCTGCGATGTGGTTGTAAAAGCTGTTTGGCTCTATCACTCTCCTCATGTGTTCCTTTCCTCCCCATCAATGGTGCAGGAAGTCCTATGAATTTGAAGACTTGCTGCAGTCATCATCTGAGAACGGCAGGGTGGACTGGTACGCGCAGACCAAGCTGGCCCTCACACGCACTTTATCTGAGGAGAACGTCTACGAAGACATACTGGGTAGGAGCTCCGGGTGATGGAGGGGTTTGACTGCAAGCACTGAATAACTCAGAAGACTCGTGGTCAACAAGCACTCAGCAGAGGTGCTGAGTGAAGGATGTTTATTATCCAAATGCAAGCCAGGGCGTGGTTTACACAGATTATTGGCAAATAATTTAAAAAAAAAATGGACAAAACATTTCAAAATTTATCAGCTTTAAAGATGAACCTGAAGCGTGTGGGAACCAGCTTTTATTTTTACTGGCATCTGTCCTCTATCCTCCTTTTGTCCTGTGGACTTACTCGCACAGCTCTGGTACCTCCATTGTTGTGAGCTTGTCACCACAGAGATAAAGGGAACGTACTGAAACCAGCCTTGAAATGAATTCTATGGTTCAGAAATAAGCTGTCAGTATGGCTCCAGGTGCTAATCAATTAAATAAAAAAACCCTGAGGTCCCACAGTCCTTGAAAAGGAGTTGTATTGCATTCTATAACTTTGATGGCAGATCAGAGCCATTTTTAAGACTATTTCCTGCAACATTCTCAATTTCTATGGTGTTTTTTTTAGTGCTGTAAGTTAGATGGGCTTTTGTGGAACATAGAATAGAAGCATCCCTCTTGAACAAGCCTTAATAAGTTTTAGTAGCTGTAGGCTGGCATTGGCTAAGGCTGAGTTTAGTGGAATAGGAAAAGAGAGGCTGCAGCAGCTCTTAACACAGCTGCTACCTACAAAGGTGGCCTGCATTATTCAGTGTGGGAGGCAGCTGCTCTTTCCTAGGAGCAGTGAGGGCATTATTGTTTTGATATGAATAAAATCTCGTCATATTTGATTAGAAAGAAACCAAATCTTTTTTTTTTTTTTTTTTCCTCTGAAAAGAATGGTATTCTTTTGGGGCTGGTTGCAGAAAAGGTGATGCCAACCTGTCCTTTTTGACGTTTTTGAAGCTGTCAAATTCTCACGTGGAGCTGAGGACTCGTGTCTGCCTTTTCCTTCTTGGGGTGGTGAAAGAGATGGGAAATGCCTGAACAGCTGGTGGGGTTTTTGTGTTTGTGTGTTTTGGGGCGTGGTGGGAGGTCTCAGAAATCACTGTGGAAATGCCACTTTGTCAACTGGAATAACAGAGATAGTGTTACAGGTTGGCTTTATGAGCAAATCCATCCGTCCCTCCAAACACAAGCACACCCGTGTGTCCCACGCTTGCACAGAAGTCAACGACCAGCCTGAAATTTCTCTCCCCTCCAGCTTTTGTTGCAAAGATTAGAAGCAAACAAAGTAGTGGCTAATCGTCAGCTAATGGAGTGTGCTTGTTTGTTTGTTTTTCTTGCTGCATGTTCAGGCTTTGCCTGGAGTCAGTGATCTTTAATTGGTTCCTGCAGTCCTGGTGGTGTTTCCATGGGAGCTTGGGAAAAGGGGTAGACAGGGATAGCTCCAAAAAAGCCACAGTTTTATTTTTCACAAGACCGCAGGCAATTATAGTCCACACAATAAAAAGAAACAACATGTGAAAACCACAGCAATGGAGGGGTAACAGGGACCTCAGTGCTGACCCACAGATAGTCGTGTGTCCATCAGGGCATGCAAGCCCACACGTACACCCCACACGCATGATTTGGGGAGGGTTCAACTGCTGGTGGGAGAACTGCTGCTTTTCCCAGCGAGTCACACAGATTCCCTTCATCTACCACCATCATTTTACCTGTTTGCCATTGCTTACCTGGAATATTGGAAATTGTAATGGGCAGATGGATGTTTTTTGTGTGTCAAAAAGAGGGAAACCGTGTTTTTTTCTTTCTTTTCAACTATTTGGACGTGCTGCTGAGCGTCCAAGGTGTTGCATGAAAATAGGAGCAAGGCAGTTGTTCTGAGTCCCAGCTGCCCATTGGGATGGCACGAAAGGATGGCAATAAAGAGAGAAGTCTTGTAACAAATTGCATGCCCATGGAGGTGCTTGGGCTGAGATTCTGTCACTGCTTTTTGAGATGCTTGGTTGAAGTTGCTGCAACCTGCTTTTCAGAGTTGTGTGCTTTTCACTGAAAACACTTAAGTTAGCATTTTCCAGCACTGCTGAAGAATGGGATGTAAGAAGTTCATTAGACATAATTCTGTCTGTTTAAAACTCTGCCTAGTCATGGACCTCATCTCCAGAGTCAGTGGGATAAAAGGAACACCTCTGGGTCCTTCAAGCCTTATGTTTTTGAGAGGATCTCATGTAAAAATGGGCTGAATCTTTTTTCAGAGATCTTCCTTTTTTTCCTTCCCTCACACTTTCTCTTCAGGGAGGGAGCACCCTGATTTTGCATGGCCTAGGTTAAGTAAAGTGAATCCTTCCCTCTTTCTGAAGTGGGACACATGGGAACTGAGGCATCCATGAGTGGTGGGTGTGTTTGAAAGCCTCTGCTGCCTGACAGAGATCCGTGCTCAGAGAATGGGTTAAATCTCTGCAGAGTCAGCCCAAGAGCAGTGTTGACTCCACTTAAACGATGACCAGACGTTGCCCTGAACATGGGGTTAAATAGAGGATAGAGGACACTTATGCTAGCCTTTAGCTCACAGTTTCACTTGGAATTAATTCTAAGCAGAAGACTGCAAAGAAGGAAATGCAATTATGGACCACTGTGCATGAGAACCTCACAGCTCCTCTGAAGACAAGGAAATGAGCTGGAGGACTTGCAGTGTCTTTTCCATCTGTAGTTTCTGTGATATGTTTCTATGGCTGCATACATCAGTGTCAAGGTTTGGACACTGTCCAGTGAGCAGCTGGACTTCAAGGGCTATGGAGAGGATGAAGCAATTGCAGGAATGCTTGAGAACAGGTCTTTATGTCTGATGTGGGAGGTGGGAGAAGGCCAGCAGATCCCCAAACAGATTTTTATGGCAAACCTCAAGGATTTTCTGCACTTACAGTCTCTTGTTTGTGGCTTTTTGCTGCAGATCCACCATCGAAGGAAAACCCTTACGAAGACATTGAGACCAACAGCCGCTGCTTGGGGAAGAAATGCGTCCTGACCTTCCCAGCATCCCCCACCTCTTCAGTGCCTGGGACTCCCACTAAGGTACTTCGATTGAAGTGGCCACCTCTCCTGCTCCAGAGGGCTTTGGGTCCTCTGTGGAGCTGTAGAGTTTTACCACTGACTTTGATATTGTTAGGATTTTTTTTTCCTTTCTGTCTTTACCACTGGTCAGAGAGTGGTGTGAAAGAAGAGGATGTACTGCCCTGTAGCAAGGTAAAAACAGTATTCCCCTGTACAAATGGTTTCTTGGCTTGCATTCGTTTTCACATGAGGGCTGCATTCCCCTGGTCCTTTGCAGCTGCTGTGAAGCAAGGAGCAACTGGATTGAAAGGGGCTAAATTATTTGATGTTACACTGGGGTTTTATGCAGCTGCAATACAAGACTGGAGTGATAAATGAATGGGAAGAGATCCTCTTCTCAATCCATTTTTTATGCAGATGTATCCTCAGCAAAACTGAACCATGGCCCTGTCTTCTGAGCAATTTCTGCAACAAATGTATATCAAGAAAAGAGCAGCTTTGGGATTTTATCATGTTCATGTATGTGAGGAGTAAAGCGGTGACAGCTTGAGACTTCAGCCTCTTACCTCTGGAAAGCTGCCTGCAGGTTCTTAATGAATTCTGAGTGATGGTTAGCTTAGTACTTCTCTCCAGAACAGATGAGTTGAAAGGTAACAGATACAAAATGGGAATCCAGAAATGGGTGTGTTCATGACATGAGGTGGTTTGGATTTAGGCATTAGCTCTGAATGCATAGAAAAATGCATCATTCCCAGTGCATTTCTTGTGAACAGCCTAGAGCACTGGCAGAGGGGCTGCACTGGCAGAGCTGAGAGTGAAGACCAGCTGCTGTGTCTTTGCCCCATACCTGTACTGGGACAAAAGCAGGGTGCTAAATTTCTTCCAGATACTGAACAAAGAGGGCAGGAAAGCTCCTCCTCCCCTTCTTCAAAGAGGGCATTTAAGTGCTTGGGTAATCGAGCCCTGCAGTTGTCTTGGCTCAGTGTCTGTGGGCTGTAGGCAGTCTGTCTGTGCTGATGCCAAGATGCCTCTGCAGACCACTCCCTTAGGATGCCTCTTTTGCTCACTAATGTAATGCCACTCCCCTGTTTAGGGAGCCTGTCCAAAAAGGATGTCCCCACCAGCAGGACAGCTTACAGAGTTGTTCCATTTTCCTCCTTGGCAGTGAAACCAAAAGAAGAGGTAAAGCACATCGTGCTCTGAGCTCACTGAGGCGAGCCCTGCTCTCAGTTTCCTGAGCTGTTTCGGCTGGTTCCCTTTCTCTATTTTAGATAGTCCAAGCCTGGAACCGCAGGGGCAATGTTAGAGCACAAATCATCTTGGCAGAGCAGGTAGTAGGGATCTAAACATGGTTTTCCTGACCGAAGGGCTTTCCCATGCTCTCCAAGCTGCAGCTATTATTAGAGTTGTTAGCCAACATTTCCAGAGGTTTGACATGCATTTCTTGATGTGTTGCTCTTTTCCAACCAGCTTAATCAGCAACTGAGGTTTTTCCAAATAATTCAGCGCTTCAAAGAGAAAATCGCCCTGCAGTTCTGAATCCATTCTTGTTACTAGTGAGCTCTAGAGCAGTGTAAGTCTGTATGGGAGTGTTGGGATGAAGCTGATTTTGCTCAGACATCTTTTCAATCACTTGTGCACCCTGACATCCCTCCCGTGCTGTGTTAAGTGTTGCTGCAGTGTTACGCAGAAACATCTTTCACCCTAGATACAGTTCCCAGCAGGACAGTTAGTGAAGAGTAGAAGGGGAGCAATTACGGTACGTTATGGTGCTTTGACATCCCAGAGCTGTGATCTGTATCGGTCAGAGAAGTGCTGCAGCTCTCTCGGCAGCTGACTGGTTTGCAACAGCAGTGTGAATCACGCTGGAGAGCCTGCCCAGGCTGGACGGACTTCCAGCAGTGGCTTATATCGTTAGTGCAGAATGAGGTTCTTCAATGTGAAGACTCTTCTAAGATTCGTGTGACTTCTCTGTGGGTGGTAAGCATTTTTGTGAGCTGAGTGTCTTTTGCCAAGCCATCCAGCAACACCTGAGCTGGCCTGACTGGCTGCAGCAGTCTGGTTAATGCCTCTTCTGGGTATGTCTGATGTAGGCAGACCATTGTGCTACCTCAGCTACTGCGCTGGTGTGACTTGTTCAGAATTAGCTTGGAGACCTCCCACCTACAGTTCCTGGTGCCACATAGAGATGGCATTTGAGAGTGCATGGTCAGTGCCCAGAAAAGGGGCAGCTTAACCTTATCATAACTGCTGGGAAATTCTGTTGGAGAAGACAAAAAAAGTTCTTACTGAGCACCTTTGTGGTGAGAAGTGGTTTGCCCTCCTTTATCTAGAGCTGAGCTTTCTGATTCTCTGCTGCTGTCCTTGGTCAGAGATTTTAAGATCTTTATTTTGGTACTTATATGTTTCCTGTTGTGCTCTCTCTCAACTTACTTCAGAGGAAACCAGTCTCCATAATTGCCTGCCGTGACAATTTTCTTGTACCCTCCTCTTGTACCCTGAAATATTTAATTCTTGCCCCTGTCAGAGACAGAATACCGACCGTGCTTTTCATCGGGTCTCACTGCTTCTCTGTTCCTCCTGGCCATCTGCTCCTTATCCCAAATGCTTGTGGCTGGCTGGTTGGTTAGTCTTGTCCTGTTTACAGTCCCAGCCTCTGGATTGCACAAGTCCTGGGAGTATTTTCACACTGGAGTGAGGCTTCTTGACCAAACTCTGGGTTTGTGTTATGTTCTGAAATGCGTGTGGGGTTGTTAAATTGCTGGTCAAAATAGTTCTGGCCTAGCCTGGCAGCTGGACACATTCCTTGTGTGTGCAGGAATATGGGAGCATTCTCAGAAGTTAGCCAGTTTTGGCAGCTGAGTGGTGTGGATTCCCCACTGGCTCTACTGCCATGACAGTGTTAGCAGTGAAGCAAAGGTACATTGGATGTGCTGTCTTTACTCACTCCTTCTCCTCCATTTCCAGTTGCTTTCCAAGCCCATTTTTTTCCGACAAAACTCAGAGCGGCGGAGTTTCAAACTGCCAGACATACGGAAACTGAGCCGCGATGGAACTGGGTCGCCATCCAAAATCAGCCCTCCCTCTACCCCCAGCAGTCCAGACGACACCTTCTTCTCCTTGGGAGACCCTCAGAACGGCAAGAGGAGAAGGAAGATTCCCAAGGTAAATCTTGGCTTTTCTCTCTTTCGCTTAGCTTCTTCCAGGCAGGAATGGAAGTACGTTTCCAGTATGAGAGAATGTTTTCTGCAGTTTTGATGTGGCATCCCTGCAGTGTAGCCCTTGTTCTGGCAGTTGACCTGACTTATGTTTAACTCCCTTTCTGCCTGAGGGGAAGGTGCACAAACCTCTCTGCAAGTTTTTCCATTTCAGATACCATGATTGTCCGGAGAGATTAAAAAAGAGAAAGAAAAAAAAAAAAGAGAGAAAAAATGCAGTTTAATTTTTGGATAAAAGCTGAAGCTTGTTGGGGGGAAAAGCAAGGAATATCTTTTATTTTTTTTAAAAAAATACATCTTAGTTAGTTCATCCTTTGCTTGAAAGGTGGGACAGTCAGAAATGTGTCATGTTGGTGCACCCTCCTGGCAACCTGTTGTTCTTTGTTAGGTCTCATGCATGCATTGGCTGTTTCTAACCCAACTTAAGGTGTGATCGTGAGTGAATAATGAAAAAACTGACATTTGAGTGACAAGAAGTGTTGCCGTTAGTGAAGGAAGTGAAGGGCATTTTCTAGAGCAACATCTCCTACTTTGTGTTTTGATATAGTATGACTTAGTTTTAATCCTATTTTCTTTCAGATCTAGCAGGAAGTGTATTCAGTCCAAATGAGGTTTGGCAGCAGGCTATCGATTGAACGTTTCAAAAACACAGTTATAAAAACAAAGTTGCTTGTCCCAGTCTTTGCAGGACAAGCAGAGACTACCAGGGCCCGTCTGTGGTGTTTTTTTCTGAACCCGCAGTTTTCATTTGGGGAAAAGGGGATGTGTTTGTTTATCCTCTTCATTTCTTGGTTGCCAGATCCATGTTCATATTTGTATATATGGTTTTTGAGTGCCCTGTCTGTATACCTCAGCTCTCCAGGAATGAACCAAAGACTACAAATGTTTAGGGTTTTCTTTCCCATTATTCCTACACCTCTGTGCATGTGCTTGAGCTCTGTCAGTGTTTTCACACAAACATTTGTGTCAGCTGAAGGGAAGGTTATGAGTATGTATTTACTGGGCAGTGCCCCTGAGCAGTCTTGCAGGGCAAGCTCAGAGCAGAAATTCACTGCATCAGTGGCAAGGTTGACCTGAGATTTTGGCTGGGGAGCTGGATGGAAGCTACACTTCCATATCAGAGCACCTCACCTCTTGATGTTAAGGTTGCTCTCATCCTCCCGCCAGTTTTCTGCTTTCAAACCTGCAGAACAAGGCAGGTTCCCAAGGGTTACCCTCCGGTGCTCCCTGGAGGGTTGACCATGGCAAGGAGAGGCCCAGGTGGGTGCCAGCAAGCTCACACAGCCACAGGGTGTGGAGGCACATCGAGGCCTGGCCTTTCATCGGGGCTTGTTGCCTTGGGCTCCTGCCACGCCAGCACGACTGTGCTGCATCTGTACCAGAGCCAGCACGGCCACCGGTAACACAAGTATCTAGGACCATCAGGTGAAGTGTTCCACTACAGCCAGGACTGGGAAGCAGAGCTCTTTTCATGAAATTCTAACCTTCTTTCTTGCCTGGCAAGGAAAATAACCTTTTTTTGTTTGTGTGTTTGCTGAGCAGCTTGTGTTGAAAATCAATGCCATTTATGAGGCACGGAGGGGAAAGAAACGTGTCAAGAGACTATCGCAGTCTACAGAGAGCAATTCAGGGAAAGGTAAAGGAACTTTGAATCATCGTACATCTAAGACTTTTTGAGGACTTAGACTTTAGGCTGACTCGGTCGTTCATGTGATGTTTTTCAGTGCTTCTTCCAGTCCAGTGTGAGACTGAGTTGGGGTTTCCACCTCTTCTTTTGGAAAGATAAAGGTTGTTCCACTGCCCAAGGGCCTTTCATGACAAGGCACTTTTTTTTTTTTTCTCGCTTCATTTTCATTTCATGGCTTTACATGATAACCTCATAGGTCGCACCAAAAATGCCTCCACTTTTTGATGTTTATTTCTGGAACTGGCTAGACACTTTTGAGAAGAATGTTCTGTCCAAAGAATCTGATTTGTTGAGATCAAAATATTCTGTGGGAATGTGTTACTTTAATGAACTGTCCAATAGAAGATAGGAGAGTTTTGAAACAGTCCTGTTTTCTTCAACGTCCCAATAAATAAATAGCCTCAGTTGGGAATCAGGGTTTCTGGACTATTGACTATAGGACCATCTCCATCATCTCAAAATTAAGACTTTCAGCTTCTCACTGCCAATCAACAGCTTACCAAAAGTGTTTAGGTACTTCAAAGCAATTGTTTATAAACATCTAATCTATGCAAAGCTTTAAATGACATCTTTCCAACACAGTATTTTTTTCTAAAACACCCCAGTTCCCAGTGAAAGGTGACCTCCAGGTCTGTTTGTTTCCCACAACTACTTGTTACTGCTTGTCCTGTTTTATACATAAAACAGGTGTTTTTATACATAAAACAGGGGGGTGGGTGTGTTTATATGAACCTTCTCCATATTTTATACTCCTCTCTGAAGCATCTGAGGCATCGACAAAAACAGGTTATGGGATGATATAGGGCCTGAGTCTGATTCATTCCAGCAGTTGTAGGGATTTTTGTTTTTGTTTTTGCCCCTTGTCCTGTTTTTTGTTTGTTTTTACCCCTTGACTGCTACATGTGAATCAGTATTTTGCTTTTCTGTTGTGCTTATACAGATGTTGATGAAATACTGCTCTGTCATTTTATTCTTTATGCAACTCTTAGGGCTGTGCAAAGTAGATTTTGATGCATTTTTTTGTGTTCCCTGAATGAGTGGGAAAATACTGAGGTTGGTAAGTTAAATGTCTGTGGGTGTATGCATCCTTGAAACAGATGAGGCCCTTGAGATCTGTATTGTCTTCCCCCTGAAATTGTTAGGCCTGGCTTTCTCATGTCAGCGATGAGAAATGCACTCTTATAAAAAGGCTGTACTTACTTCATCTTCCCTTTTCTTATTTTCTAGTTACAGATGAAAACAGTGAATCAGACAGTGATACTGAAGAGAAACTCAAAGGTAAGGCAAATGTGTGAAGAGAGCAAATAGCTCCTGATAAACTCTTCTTTGAGTTCCTGGGTCAAGTTCTCTCCTCTATGTTCTGCCTTTGGAGAAAGAGCTTGTTTCCACTCAAAACACAGTGAGAAGACAAAGATCTGGAAACTGCAGAAGAAAATCCAGGAGCAGAGGACTTCAGGAATCCAAAACAAACATCTGCTCCAATTCCCATCAAAGCTCTTTGCACTAGCTTTCACAGGAGCTTTCCACAGCTTATATGGTGTGGAAATAAAAGGAGGTTTTTCTGAGTGCACGGTCATAAATGTGTGCACAGGCTGACAGAGGCAGTATGGCAGTGGGACAGGATGTTCACAGCAAGACAGGGTGATCACTAACCCCACTACTCATTTATTAAGAGAGAAAACCCACAAGCCAGAATGTCTAGCTAGGGAAATGGGATTGCAGTATATGATTTATTGCTAATTAAACTCTTCTGCATTGGCTGAGTTGAGATAAAGTGCTGCATTCTTTGTTTTGCTCCAGTAGAGCCGATAGAGGGTATGCTGGTCTCCATAATTCTCTTCTCAAAACTTCTTGTATTGGTAATTACCCTTGTGACATGCTGGTGGCATTACAGTCTCTTGAGAATTTATACGGTGAATTAAAAATCCTGATAACGTAGGAATACAAAATTGAAACTCCTTCACAGTCCAAAGTTTCTTCATGCACGTGCACACCTGATCAGGGTAGCAGGTCAGTTCTCAAGCTGAAAAGAGTTAAAAGCAGCAGTTTTCACTCCGTGTCAGCCACAGCACATTGTGTGTAGGAAGGCTCACCCCTACCCTCTTCAAGTTTTTTAGAACAGAAATCTCAGTCTGAGTTCCCTTTCATGTTTGGTTGTACTTCCCGCATAAGAACTACTGGAAGATCTGGAAATCTTTGGTCTGTACTACTGTAAGAGCAAGATCAAGCTGAAAATTGCTGCCCCTGTCTGCCTTCTGACAGGTTCTCAGGTTATCCTAAAGATAGAGAGAAAGGGTTTGTGCCCACATTGCACAGGAATTGCATTCACAATTGCTTTGAAACATGATGTTATGAAATATAGTTGCATGTTTGGTTGTAGCTGAGAAAGACAGTGTAGATGTGGCCAAGAAGACTCAAACTCTCGTCTGTTCCCACTTGCCAAGGTGAATCATGTGCAGCACCATCGCCTTGTTTCTGTGTAGGATGTCTAACTGCAGCTGGGAACTTAGAGTGGAGGAGATGATTCAGATGGTCAGAGGTCACTTCAGATCAAACAGCACTGGACCCTGGACAATATCCAGATCCATACCTGGATCTGAGCGTGCAAAAGGCCTGCGTGTCTAGATAAGTGTGAATGGGGGCTCTGGCACTTGCTGCTTGCTCTAGCTAAACCTGTGTTTTGCTTTCTGCCTTGCTGAACTGTGGACTTTCCTATTTTTGAATAGAAAAAGGAGATGATTTATCAAGTATCTTTTATTTGGGACTTTTCAGTTTTGTATGTTGCAGTTAACAGACCAAACACAGCCAGTTACCACTGCTGAGCAAGTCACTGTACCTCAGCTGAGACACACTAAATCATCAGGCACCAGTCATCAGGCTGCATGTGAGAGCCAGAAGTACTGGCCCTTAGGACGGAAAAATGTTTAAAGACAAACTCTGCCATGATGACAGCAGTACAATCCTGGTGTCAAACAGTGCAGAGCTCGAGTGAGATTTTCAGAAGCACTCAGCATTACTGTGACACAGCTCCTTTTGAAGTGCCTGGTAAAACAGAGGCCACTTCTGAAAGCTTTTGAAGAATTACAGCCTTAAAGCAAGTGGTGTAATAGCTGATGAGAGAAAGGAGTCTAAGCCATTTTTTCCAGGGCTTTAACTGTCCTGGAATTGTGTCACTCTGATTTAAGAAGCACCTTAAGGTTGCTTTAAGTTATATTGTCTGGAATAGTCCGTGACTACTTGACCAGACAAAAGGTCAAGAAGTTTGTACCATCCCCCAGAAAGCTCTGTCTCCAAGCAGATGTGTAGCTGGAGTTTCTGCAGTATCCCTGTGGTTGTTGTTTCTGTCAAAAATGTTGCATTACCACCCGCATTAGCGAAAAGCACTTTGTGAGAATGAGCTGTAGCCTCTGCTTGTAGTTAATTCTTTCTTTCTTTTGTAGTAGGGCTAAGGGAGACTCACGGAGATTTAATTTGAGATGCAACTGTAAAACAAAGCAGGGGGAAGGTCTTAGGGAATCTCATCTGGTCTCTTCCCAGCAGGCAGCTTTTCATTACTTTCCATGCTGGAATGTTTATTGTCCCACAGCTCAGATGTGTTGCAGTTACGGCTTGCTTGGCAGTTTTTCTTGTTTTCCCATTGTCTTGGGAGAACTTGTAGAAACACAGTCCTGAGAGATTCGCTTTAGGCAGAGGAAGGTCTGTCATGAGCCAGCCTTTTTCATTTGCACCTCTTCTCTTGTTTTTTGCTGTTGGCCTGCAGCCCAGCACGTGTTCCCAAAGCGGGGGGTCCCCAGCATTACTCAGCCAGGGGAGCCCCAGCCTGACCCACGTGCTGGTCTTGTGAAACTGTGGAGATTGCTACCCCCAGCCTCCTCTGAACAAAGGTGATCGATCACCTAACTGTGCTGGCTTCAAAAGATGCATAAATGAGTGCTAGGATGAATGCCCAGATATTATCTCTTCTGTGTCCCGCATGGATCTCAGTTTGGCTTGTTCTCAGCTGCAAAAGCCATCTATGAAATTGTGCTGCCAGAGCTCTTCAGGGTGGTGATATCAACAAGATTATGTCCCATCTCTGTCAATATTTATAGTGCAGCTTACAATTGGGGCCTGCCTCTTGCTCAGCCACTGACAGAACAAACACAGTGAGGTGGTTTGAGTTTACAAAGAGCTAGACAAAGTGACAAACTCTAATCTTTTTCTTTGTAGCTCACAGCCAGCGCCTGGTCCACGTGAAATCTCGCCTGAAGCAGACCCCGCGGTACCAAACCTTGGAACGGGACCTGATCGAGTATCAGGAGAGGCAGCTGTTCGAGTACTTCGTTGTGGTGTCGTTGCACAAGAAGCAGGCCGGAGCCACCTATGTCCCTGAGGTTACCCAGCAGTTCCCACTGAAGGTGTGGTGCCTGTCGGGAAGCTCTGGCTGCTGTGTCTCAGAGTGCGTGGTGCATTGCCCTGCTGGAGAAGCCACAGCTTCTCTGCACGTTGTATCAGAAACCCCTCTGCTGTGGCATTGTTCAGGGAGACCGAAGACAGAGGGGCTGCAGCAACCCCCTGAGCATTGTTATGACATTCCTCACTGTTGAAAGAGCAGCTGATTCAGATCTTTTGCTGCTCTTGGCTATGACTTTTATGTAGCTATTCCTTTCTCCACCATTTATTTTTTCTTTAAGGAAAACTGACACTTGGGAGAAGATGTGTTCTTAAAGGGAAGGCACAGCTTTCACCAACAGTTTAGCTGAAACACAGGGAATGAGAGAAACAGAGAGCCAATGTGACAGCACATTTGTAAATGCAATGTAACCAGAGTTCCCCCAGACTTCAGTACTCTTGTCCCTTGCTGGAAGGTGTGTCCCAGCCTGGAGGCACAATTGAGCACAGGGGCAGGTGTTGCAGACACAGGGCTTGGTGGAATTGGGGGTACAGAGTTACTTTAAGATATCTAAAGATTAGGTGAGCCAGAATCACAGAAATTTTAATATCTTCCAGGCAGAAGCTTAGCCTCTGTCATCACCTCTTCATTTGTCACAGGAAAAATATTTGAAGTCATTCCATCCCCACATGACTAATTGGAAACATTCCTTCTCTCTGTTCTCCCTTAGCTTGAACGCTCGTTCAAATTCATGCGTGAGGCAGAAGATCAGTTGAAAGCTATTCCCCAGTTTTGCTTTCCTGATGCAAAGGACTGGGCCCCCATCCATCAGTTTGCCAGGTAAGTACTGTACTTTGTATTGTGGCTCGTGAGAGATGGATTTATGTATCGAGCTAATTAAATATGAGGGCTCTTATGGTAGAAGGTTGGGCAGAGCCCTGAGAGGGCTGTATTGGAAATGCAAAAAGTTTGTGGGCTTAATGGGTTCATCTGTATGTCAGAGTTTGTATGTGGGTGATGTTCTGCTTTCTTTTCATTCTGGTTTTTCTTTCTGCAGTGAGACCTTCTCATTTGTCCTGACGGGGGAAGATGGAAGCAGGCGTTTTGGATACTGTAGGAGGCTGCTGGTAATTATCCCTACTTCTTCTTCTAGCAGAAGAGGTGCAACTTTCTGGGGTGTTGCTATCACTGCTACCTATTGTGGAAAGTAGAAAGCTGCTGCTCTTCTCTTCAAGCGTGGAAAGGGTGGTAGCAGAACAGCTTTGTTCTCTTCTACTCTGCTCAGTGAGTGCTAAGGTCCCTCTCTGAATGCAATCCACCAGTCCAGACATGGTTCTTTTGCCTTTGCCTTACACCAGTGCTTAATATTATGAACACAGACTGTTGCTCCACCACTAAGCTGGATTTAGGGTTCCTCTCCCTTAGTTTGACATAGCTAATAAACAGTTGGCTAAACCATTGCTGGTCCTGTAGGCTCAGAGTTGTCTCTGTAGAGCAGTTTACCCCATCTTGGTCATTTGACTTAGGAAGGTTTGGATCATATCATGGATGTACCCACCTCTGCCCCGTTTTAGTGAGCTGTAGAACTCAGAGACCAGTCACTCTATCTCTGCAGAAGTTACAACTCTGATATTTTCTTGGTGTTTTTTGTGTGTGTGTGTGTGTATTTGTGTTTGTCTCGAAAGCCCAGTGGGAAAGGGAAGCGCCTCCCAGAAGTTTACTGCATCGTGAGTCGCCTCGGATGCTTCAATCTCTTCTCTAAGGTGAGGGGGGAGAGAGAGGGAATTTGTGCAGTAGGCCAAAAGGGACCCAAAAATAAAGTCGACACAAGAATGGGAATCGAGGAAGGTGATGGCAGAAGAAAGGGTCTGAAATGGTGTTGGCAAGGCAACTGCATGCTAATTCCAGAACCTAGCAAAAATACAGTTAAAAGGAAAAAATAGATTGTCAGCTGTTGCCTTGCTCCTTCAGCAGAACTACCAGCACACAAGTGCTCAGAGATTAAAAGGTGGAGTCTTGATTCTGAGGAACAGGCAGCTTGCAAATTGTAAGCCTTCCATCGACCCCATGGGAGCCGGGTTTCTCTTGCTGAGGAAAATGCAAGCCTTTCAGTTCCAGGGTGCTTTCTTCCTTGTGATTCAAGGCTCCACATCAGTGTTGTGCTAAGGAGCGAATGCCAGTACACTTTATTGCTGGTGTTGCCTCCCTCCTCCTGTTTCACACGTTTTTGTGGTTTCATGGTTTTATTTCAGATCCTGGATGAGGTTGAGAAGAGACGGGGCATTTCCCCAGCCTTGGTGCAGCCTCTCATGAGGAGTGTCATGGAGGCGCCTTTCCCAGCCTTGGGCCGGACAATTACAGTCAAGAACTTCTTGCCGGGCTCAGGAACAGAGGTAAAAACCCTAGCCTGGAGGGAGGGAGGGAGGGAGAGTTAGGGCAGCAGCTGGTGCAGTGCTGGCAACTGGAAGTTGGGACTGTGCCATAGCACTGGAGGTGTTCGAGAAGGATGGATGGTCTGGCAGTTTCGAGGGAGGGAGCTAAGGAGTAAGATAGGGGAGCAGAGGGGATGGCATGGAGAGTTCTCCAGTGACCTCAGAATCAAAAAGGAAGTCACGGTAAAAGTAAAGGTGGAGACACATTCGCCACATGGCAGGATGAAGCAGGACGTTGGTGCCACAGACTGGCAGGCTCCATGCTACCCAGCACGTGACCCTGGGTCTGCCCAAGGACCTCCCTGCTTAATTCCCTGAACTCAGGATTAATAGCATGTGCTCTGGCATCTGTAATGCAGCATCACTGTTTGTGTGGGACAAAAGAGGGACTTCTGGTTAAAAAATACCTGAAATGACACCAGGGCAAAGCTACAGCCTTTCAAAACCACATTTTCACAGCACGGAGATGAGGGCATGTTTTGCATCTCCCCCAGTGTGATGTGAGGACAGAGGGAGGGTTTTAAGAGAGCAGAGCTTTGGGGGATCGCATTGAAGGGCTGTTGGCAGAAGCAGGGAGCCAAATTGAATGTGGTCTCAGCCATGCTTCCTGTTGGGCATGACATGCGCTGAATGAGAGCAAGGGGAAAGAGACAGAGTTGATGGCGGTTTTGTCTAATGGGGAGCATGCCAAGTACAGACAGTCAGCAGGCTGCTTGAGCAGGCACAAACAACTGGCCTTATTTTATCTAGCAACACCACTATATATATTGCTGAAGTCAAATGTAAAGAAAAGTAACCCACACATGGACCAAAACGAAAAAAAAAGGCGGCCAAAATGAGTTACAGCCAGCAGAGGACAAAGTCCCTGTGTCTGTAAACACTGGAATTGGTGAAACCTGCTTCCTCACTCTCCCTCTTCTCTGAGCACGAAGCAGTTTCCGTGCCCCTGCCCCGCTGTCCTGCCAGTGCCTTTGTGCCAGTGCACGGGGGAGCTGTTGCAAAGCAGGATGTGTGCTGGCTGTGCAGCGCTCTGCCTGGCTCAGCAGGGTGCAGCGCACCTCTCCTCCTCGGGAGGCTGCTTTCTGCAGAATTTAATCATCCTTGGGACCCCTGCTCATTGAAATGGGAACCTGGCCAGCTGGGGAATCAAAAGTGAAGGCAGGAGGAGGGCACCAAGTGGGAGCATGACTGCTGCGAATCCAATTTCCTTGGAAACCCAGGCTGGTAAGGGAGGATCTGTTAGAAGGATGAAGCAGACACAGAGAAACACTGCATGCTGCCACTGGATTGGTTTCCTCTTCTAGCATTAGGAAACCTTTAATATATGGAGAGTGAAGAATGACCTTCATATTCTTTGTGTTTTTGACCTTCAGAAGGAAGATTATTTACAATCAGATGCTCAATACTATTAATAGTAACAATGAGAGGGTGAGGGTGCAGGGCAGAGCAGGAAGAGCTTGCTCAAGACAGTATTGGGGTAATCAGGAGCTGAGGAGATTCGGGATACAGTTCTGTGAAAAACAACTGCAGCGATGCCTTTTTTGCTGTTTCGCAAAAGCAGCTGTTTTGCAAGCAGCTCTGAGAACAGCAAGTCCCAGCGGAGTAGGAAAGAGAAGGCCTAGCGTCTGTGCTCAAGGAGAGGGAGAGGGAGGAGGATACCAGGGAATGTAACAGGACCAACCTAACTCTGATTGCTGAACATACGTAGGAACAAACTACATAATCATCTTATATGAATCTAGAGGGTCATAAAGCAGTGAGGAGTAGCTTGGATTTGTGAAGAGCCATGTTAAACTCATGTAGTTTTCTTCTCTGAAGTACCAACTCTAGAGAGGAAAATGCGGAAGGCTTTTTAGGGAAATGTGGGGAGGCTTTCAGTAAAGCACTACGTGCTGACATTCTCATTAACCGAACTGAACAGGCCAGGCTAAATTAAATTTCTGCAAAGCACACGCATAGCTGGTTAAAAATCTGCACTCGAGGAGTAGATTCCCCGTGGTGTGCTTGGCAGGCTGTGAGAATGGTTCGGCTGCCTGCTTCTGGGATCCGTGATGCTCGTTAGTTAGCTCCTTGATGGCATAAACCCACATTTGTACAATTGGTGGATGACAGCATTGAGATGGGATGCAGGCACTTCGGAGAGTTAGGGATTGAAATTCAAAGTGACCTTAGTAAATTCAAGATTTGGTCTCAAATTCAGCGTGGATAAGAGCAAAATGCTGTGAAGGAGAAATCAGCAGTCTAATACGACATGGAAGTATTTGAATGAGCAGCAATACTTCAGAAAAGATCTGGTGGTGTAGAGGCTCATAAAATGGGCGGAAATAACAATATGGTGTTATCAAGACGATCTCTGGCATTGTGAAAGAAAGTGAAAGGCTGAATAATGAAGGAAAGCAATTTTCCTGCTCTCCAGCATTTGTGGAGACTCATCTGGAGTATCGCTTTCAAAACAAATGTAAACAAACACTAGGAGAAAGCCCCAGAGAAGTAGTTCCACTTACTAAGTGGTTTAGAAAAGACAGGCAAAGCTTGAGAGAATGATTTGCTTAATACGGAGAACAAAGGACAGAGAGGGACAGGTGATGATGACCTCCGACAGACAAGAGGTTTCCTACAGAGCAGAAAGTGTCCACTTGTTCTGATTGTATACTGAGAGTAAAACAACAAATCGGAGAGGTAACTTGCCACTGAGAGAGCTGAGCTGTGGGCTTGGTGTTGGTAAGGGTGGTTCAGAACTAGAGTAGATCTTATTGTGGGGTTTATGAAATATCTGCCTTTGGAAGTTCTCAAGAACAATTCAGTAAGATCTGTCTAAGATAAGGAGTGTGAAGTGCCACGATGCTGTGACGGCAATTATTTAAATAGATATCAACAAGGGAAAATGCCCACAGGCTACAAGGTAGTCTTTTCTGTAACTGGTATCAAAATTTATGGTCAGTAGATTAGACATCCAGATTCTTGCAGTAAAAAAGTAAGTAAATCGTATCTGTAAAAATAAGAAGGAAAATCAGCAAGTTTCTGTGCCACTCTGTTGCTCAAATGTCGGAAAGCCTGGAAGCCACTTAGCTGGACACAAACGAATTATCCTCCTTCTGAAGAGCTCCCTGTCCTCGGTCCAGTGGGGTGGACTTGTGAACGGTCTCATGCTCTGCGTACTGGGGTGGACTCTGGATGGTCTTCAGCTTCATCTGGAAGAAGGGTTGGTGGGAGGTCTTCGGAAGATCGTGTTGGAGGGCTGAGCGCCGTGTGGTGCCTGGCAGCAGTCAGTGCTGCGTGGTAGCTTGTAAAACACCTGGCAAGTCCTTGCTTCCTCGGTGTCGGCGGGCGGGGAGAGCTGACCTGTGGTCTTTTCCTCTCCAACAGGTAATTGAGCTGCGGCGGCCTCTTGACTCCAGACTTGAGCATGTCGATTTTGAGTCCTTGTTCACATCCCTCAGCGTGCGGCACCTGAGCAGGGTCTTCGCCTCCCTGCTTCTTGAAAGGAGGGTGATCTTTATCGCAGACAAGCTCAGGTACCCTCTTGCATTTCCTTAAACAAAACGCTGTTATGGAGGGGAAGCTGAGGAGACTGCACTGACTGAGCTCTTTGCCCTCTTCTTTTTTTCTTTTCTGCTTTTTCCCAACTCATATCTGATGTAAGTAGGGCTGTTGTAATTCCCAGGAGCAGGGAACTCAAGCCATGCACCGTATTTTAACTTGGCAGCTTGCAAAAAGTGAGCTGCTTCCCATCCCCATAGCGAACCAAATTCCCTTTCCTCTAAAAGGTTTCAAAGTAGAGCCCTGGTACTGAGGAACCTCCTCTTGGTCTATGGTGTGCTGCACAGCGCCGTGCTGATGTTCTAAAGACCTCAGGCAGAGATAGCTGTCCCTTCAGGATTGTTCCCTGATGTCACAGCATTTGTTTCTTAAATCTTTAAAACTTGAGCTTGAATTTTAATATCGGTTCTTTCCTAAAGACTTGTGGAGGAGGAAAGTAAAGGATGCAGTGAGGGGGACGGGGACAGAGGACTTCCCTCTTCTATTTTTAAATTTGCTCAATCTGCTTTTTTCTTTTTTCTGTTTCTTTTTCTTTTATTTTTTTTTTTAAATTTGCTCTCCAAAGTTAGAAAAACGGGCCCAGGTTTCTTTAAGATCTCCTGCAGCTGGTGGCTGGCCGCTCTCCAGCCCTTGAAGCACTTGAGGATTTAAGGAGGAGAGCTCGCCAGGGCTGGGGAAGGAAAAGCTGCCTGGATGAGTAATGACACCGAGGAGCACGCTCAGGTTTCAGGAGCGCACAGTGCCCCTGAGCTGTCTGTTTTCACAACTCCCAGCCAGCGGGCTGCAGTCCTGGGACTGAGTGCAGGGGCAAAAGATGGGGAGGCCCCTTCCACGGGAAAGCTAAGGGAAAAACTCATCCTGCGGGGCTCCAGGGCTCCTGAGGGCAGAGCTGAGGCAGTCTTATCATAGGAATAGGAAAGCTGGGGAGAGGGAAGCTGTAGGATCCAGGCAGCGCTGGCTGCTTGCAATTTTTGGCATCTGCCTTGGGTCAGGGAGGGGAGATTTGCTTCTTTATAGTCAGTGATACATTATACGCATAGATGTGTAGTGTTCTGGATGTTTAAGCCACACTTGAAATGCAAATCAGTCAGACTTGCAGAGAATGTATCCCAAACTCTGTATTTCTACGTATATGACTTATGTGATAATTTATGATGACAAGCTTTGTTTTCAAAGGTTTTTCTTCCCTGCTATAGAACAAATTTTACATTTTGGGAAAATCTGTTAAGGATACAGTTGACATATTAATCTCTACGTGAGGCTGGGTGGTGAGAATGGGGGTAGGGTTTGGGGCTTTTTTTGTATTTTTAAGGCATCTCTTCAGAATGAACCTTTACTTACCAGATCTTTTCCTATCAAATCTTTTTATGACAGCAAACCACTGTGTATTCTGAGCATGCTGTGTTGCAGAATATCTCTAATTCAGAGCACTTCCATGGGTTGATACTTTTTTTTTTTTCCCCCCTGTATCTTCTATCAATACATCCAGAATCTTTAGGAATGAATCAAACTGGCCAGGCCTGTCAAAGAGAAAAGAGAGCTGTAGGATCATACTTTTTAGAATTTTCTAAATATAACATAAACTGCTTTCTTCTGTGAAAAGAAAAAACAACTCATGTTTTAAAGATCCAGGGTTTGTTAGACCATGGGACTCAAATTCAAATATTTATTTTAGACTTGCCAGCTGTCTACAAGGCTTTCACCATTTGATGTATGTGAGAAGACCTTGCTCCTAGTGTCAAGCAGTTTCAGGAGAGTCTTCATTTTATTTTCCTCTAACAAAATATGAAGTTTCTCTGGTTCTCCTTGTTGTAGAGAAAAAGCTTCAAAACGACCCCAAAGGACTACAAAGGCTTGAAAAACAGGAAACGAAGGAAATAACCCTCAAAATGAAGTAAACTTTTATTTTTAATCCAGTCCAATGACTTGAGTGCACTGGTTTGGTGCGCCTTTCATAAACAAGAGGTCTACAACCTCTTGTATTTGTTGGTAGAGATTCCATGTTCTGGATGCCGATGGTATTGTAGGTACAAGGCCTTCTGTCCAAATGGTGCTTTTCCTGGGACAGGAACACGCTGAACTCAATTAATACTAAATAGTATTTACTTCGAGGGTGAAAATGCTGATTTCGGGGGAAAGAAAAGAAACATTTTTTGGCAGTAGCTTAAGAGAAGGAAAAAACGATAAAAGCAGCTGTTCTAAACTACTCAGAGGTTTGGAATGCTAGAAATCATCCAGCCGAGATGGATTAGTGGGGAGAGGGCAGGTGACACGATGAAAGATGCGTGATAAATGTCATTTGCAGTTCTTCGTGCAGGCAGTATCAATAACTATCTGTGCACGTGTGTCAGGTACGTATGGGTGCAAGTGATGGAGACAATGATGTATGCCATTTATTTTTGTCTCTTCATTGCTGTAAAGTCAGGCCCTGGGAAAGAAAGATGAAAGGTCTTTTGCCAAGTGCTGTGTGAACTGTGAAATGTTTTCAAGCTGAGCCAAAAAAAAATGCATCTAACAAGTGTACAGCAAGTGAAATACTGTCTTTTCCATCTTTAGAATGAACACTGAGTGTTTTTTAAAGACCCGTCAATCCAAAGCTTGGCAGCGGAAAAGGAAAGAATTGGGTTTATTAGCTGATGGTTTCTCTCTGTCGCTATGGGAACTGGAGTATACGTTCCCTCGCAAGCCAGGAGGACGACTTGGTGAAAACTGTGTAGGTCTCTGCAGTCTTCCCCACCTTAACTCACTCCCAGACTGTGAATTAGTCCTGGGGCAGTGGAGGCAGTGGCACAGGGAAGGTGCTGCAGCTCCGTTCGTTTCTCACTGAAACCACCTGGCACGCAGTTCGAGGCATCCGAGGCCAACGTTTTAGAAGGCATGTTCCAAATAAAAGCATCCTGATTTCCCCAGGTGGCTAGTGCTGGGCAGCTTTTGCTGCCCTGAGTGAGATGTGTCCGATTCAGAGGGCTTTTTAAACTGGGAGGTGTACACGGGCTTAAAATCAAGGCACTGTTTTTCCAGCTCTCCTCAAAAGCCTGTTGTGGGGCTGACCAACTCGAGCAATTGCGTCCGCCCCGCCAGAAACCACAGCTGTGTCAACAGCACAGAGTGCTCATTGTTATCAAAGGCAGATCTGAAGTAGAGTAGACACTTCCAATGTGGTCATCCCAGGAGAAGATAATTAATCACTAAGAGCAGCCCTTTCTGTGCGCCGCAGAAGCGGCCTGAGCTGTGCCTGTGCATTCAGCCTCACAGGTTTCTTGGTTTCATGTTGTGGTTGGGGAGAAGAAACCCAAGGAGGAGGTATGTACGTCAGCTAATAGCACGGTTTCTTCAGATGCCCTTAATGCTTGCTTCTTCACGTGCACCAGCCCGCTTCTCTGGGAGGCAGCGGCTGTCCCCACCGCTGGTGGAGCCTGGCAGCATCCAGGCAGGGGGTGCCAAGTCACAGTGCAGAGCCTGGAAGCTCCCCGCGCCTGTTAAATGCTGTAAACCAAATCCGTGATGCAACATAAGTAAATCCAGATGTTAGGCAGTGTCAGAAACCCAAAGGTGTTTGTAAAATAAATCCTGCTGTAGCAGAGCTTATTAAAAAAAAAAAAAAAGAAAGAAAAAAAAAAGTGGCAATCAAGCCATGCTGGCATTTTGCAATTTAACGTATTTTCAGCATTTTGGTGGGTGCAGGGAACAAAGGGCTTAGTGGCAGTAAGCTCCAGAAGGCTGCTTGATTCAATAATATTCTTCAGAAATCTTTCAAGTATCCCAAAGCCAAAGAAAGATTCAGTTTGGTGTTTTTTTTAGCATACGTTCTTGCCTTCGAAGCAGACAGCTGGAGAACCTGCAGTCAGTCTGAAGCCTGGGAAGAAAATAACCAAACTGAGCACCCAGCAGCCTTCCTCTGAAGCTGTTGCAAATTGTCAGTGTCTGTTAGAGCAAGTCAAGCTAGTCTTGGAGCAGGTTTTCCCCGAGAGGAAGAAGAGTTTCCACCTAGCTGCAGCTGGTTTGTTCGGATTCTGCGTTGACCACCTCTGTGCAAGGTGCTACCAAAAGCAGCAGCTGCGTTTGCTTTTGCAAACATGCTTTGTGTAGGGTGCTGTGTGGGGGAAAGGCTATTGTTGAAGCAAACAAATAGGTACGCTATCTTCCGTCTGATCAAGGGAGTGCCCAGCCAGGGAGGTCTGTACATCAGCCAATACCCAAATCAGCCCTTTAGGGAGAGAATATGACGTGGTTCTTTGTGTGCTTTGGTGCTTTTTAGCCCCTGTACTATAGGAGTCATTGTCTCGAGCATCAGGTGTACAGCTCAGCCAGGATCTGTCATCAGGAGGCTGAGCGAACCCATGAGGATGTGCTCAGGATCTTGAAAGCATGCTTTAGAGACTTAAAAGTATTTTAAGGATTTGCTGTTGAAACCAAAAGCCTTAAAAACAGCGTCTGCCTCCCATATGAACAACTCACAGTGAACTTGTGGCCTGGTATTAGTGCATGGCAGCCCCCAGAGCATCCTGCAAGCACATGGGTAGACCTCTTAGTTTCTGGTGGCACCTGGAGCACAGCAAGCCAAACGCAGCACCCTGGGGCAGTGTTACTCATATGATAGCAGTCAGTGTGGTGGCTGTAGTGCCTATGTCCTGGGATTTCAGGATTTTCAGTAGGGACACTGGCTGTAGCTGGCCAAAGGCATCACTTGCCCTTTTGGTGTAAGATCCCTGAAGCTCAGTGTCCGCTGCTGCTGGCTGCAGAGCACACAGTTACACGGATGGCACAGAAGGAATTCATCAGACTGGGTTCCCTTGCATGGCTCAGTAACCTTGTCTGATTCAGGACAGGGCTCTTACATCACTGCACGCTGCAACTCCTGAGGCTGTCTGCAGGGGACATCAGGCAGAATCACACGCAGAAGAGATGCTTCAACATTACCTCATCTGTGTCCTTCTCTGAAAACTGCTCTGCCTTCAGGGGAGGCTCACAGACCTCAGCCCCAACAGCCTTACTCTCCAGAAATTCCTTCCAACGGGGGGAAGTGTTTCAGAGCAGAGATCAGTAGGATTTTTCCTGGAGGTGAGGAGGCATCCACAGATGGAAAGGTAGAAGGGGAAGCTATCTGTTTTTGCTTCCCACGGCATGGAGCATATAATTTGAGACTTAAACAGCTCTCTGACTTCCACTAACTGGACCTCAGCCATCTTTCCTCCCACCTAAGCTCTCACATACCGTGTGTACTCACTGCGACTTGAGAGCAGGGCTGGGGGAGAGCAAGGCATCATAAATACACTGGGAGACAGCAAGCCCTAACATCTCACCGTGCCATAAATAACCACCTCCTTCAGCAGCTCGCTGCTCTGCCGTGGAGCTGTCTGGAGCCACAAAGACCCCTCTGTTGGCTTTTGTGTGCCACCTATTAAGTCGGATCCTCACCTTTAGGAGGAACCTCCAGTGGTGGCAGCAGTGCCACGGTGCTAGGTGGGGAAAGCAGGGGGAGAGCCTGCAGCTTTCAAACTTGAGGAGTGGAAAACACGCTTGGCAGTAATGGAGGGGGAAAAAGCCCTGCTTTTGCACCTGCTAGCATGGCCTGAAATTTGTGGGTGTGTGAGTGGAGCCACCTGGAAGAAGGCAGTTTTTAAAGGATGTCATTAGCTTGGGCTGCACTTCCAGGAGGGTACATCTACTAAATGAAAGTTACAAGTGAAGAAATTTGCTCTGATGTTGGTCCCACACTTCTTCTGTGGGAGTTGGGTTGGGGTTTATGGTGTGGTTTTTTTGTGTGTGTTTTTTTTTGTTTTTTTTTGTAAAAGTTACCATTTATTACTAGCTCTGTGGTTTCTTATCTCATTCCATTCGTTCTGTTTCTCTCTGATTCATCACCTACCTTGCACGTGTGGGGTGTAGGCAGCCGTGCTGGTCAGCTTTCAGCAAGGGCTGGGTGGTGAGGGCAGGCACAGCTGGGGAGCAGCAGCAGGAGTGAATGCAGGGAAGGGAGAAGGATGCTCTAAGAGCTTTCCGTGGCTCTCCTGCACAGCACAGGCCCCGTGTGTTCAAACCTGGGGCTTTCCCGTGGGAAGAACAGGGGCAGAAATTTAGGAACAGAGCTCGGTGACGGAACAATCAGAAGAGATTTCTCTTGGTTTGTCTTCCAGCACGCTCTCCAAGTGCTGCCATGCCACGGTGGCCCTCCTGTACCCCTTCACCTGGCAGCACACCTACATCCCCGTGCTGCCACCGTCCATGATCGACATCGTGTGCTCGCCCACCCCCTTCCTCATCGGCCTGCTCTCCAGCTCCCTGCCCCGCCTGAAGGAGCTCCCGGTGGAGGAGGTGAGCCATGCCCTTCACAGCGTTTCTTCCAGCAGGCTGAGCTGGCTTCTGCCCTAGGAGGGCTGCTACCGAGAGCCACGTTTGCCCCTGCTGCTGTAAGGCAAGGCTGTGGTCACCACAGAAAGCTGCCAGCTGCCGCGTGGTGGCTGGGGGTGTGAAGGGACTGAGAGCTCGTCCTGCAGCCAGAAGAAAGACCCTCGGGGTCCATTGTGGCAGAGTTTTGGGCTCTGCCTTCTCCAGAGCCTGCGAACAGGGAGCTGGGATCTCCCACAGCAGGGCTGCTGCTGGGGGGAGCTGATTTTCCTCAAGTTTCTGTTGGTCCCTGGGTGATGTTGCCTCGGGGCTGAGCGCAGAGTCTGCAGGAGTGACTTTGGGATGCCAGAACCGGCAGAGCCGAGGCAGCAAGGAACGGCAGGCTGGGCCAGGAAAACAGCCTCTGCTTGTCCAGGCTGCTCTGTGGTTTGTGGCGAAGTCGTGAGAAAGCCGCAACAAGGCTCCGCTCTTGGCTCGCGCGGGGGCCTCCTCCAGCTGCCGCGGTGGTTGGGTGGAGCAGGGCCAGGCCTCCAGCGCTCCCTCCAGAGCGGCTGTGGATCAGGATAAACCCCGATGGTGGAAATAACCATTTGCATCTTGCTCTCTCGCTCTCAGGTCCTCGTCGTTGACCTGGTGAATAACCGGTTTCTGAGGCAGGTGAGCAGAACTGTTCCCTACCCTGCGCCTGCTGTCCCCTTTCTCTCTTTTTTTTAGGGAGGGGGAGACACAGCACTGAGCACTTCAGCACTGAGTACCCCTTCGGGGTACCCTGTAAGACTGAGGGCAGAGCTGAAAAGCCTCATCTGAGCAGTCATGGGGAGCAGCTGTGGCTCTCCTCTCACACACCCTGCCCTGAGCAGGGGTCTCGATGATTTCTTTGCCCTGCTGCCTGGCCTAGGAGGTTGTGATTCCGTGCTCCAGCCCAATCTAGCTGATTGCCTGCTGATTTTTTGCTTCCCTCTGTCACAAAGGGTAGGAGCCAGGTATTTAAGGGGAGAGGCCAGATGGAAGAACATGCTCCTGGCCTAGAAGCTGCTTTTGCAGGTGGCTGAGCAGTGCTGGCTGCGTGGCTCTGTCCTGTGCCTCGGGTGCCGTGGGCGAGGAGCACTCCTTTAACACATTTCTGGCTCACCAGCGTTTGCATCCTGTTAGCGGGCAGCAGGGCCAAATGCTGCGCCTCACGCCACTCCTCTGGAGGCCCAAGCTGCGTTGTGTCATCTCAGCCGGGGCTGCTGAGGGCTCCCACGCGCTCACAGGCAGTTCCCGGCTGTGGTGGAGCCTCCAGAACACGAGCGGTGGCACCTGCCTGGCTGCGAGCCAGCATTGTTCGCCTCAGCCCTGTTTGTGGCGGTGGGAGCACTCACACACAGAGCGGGTGGCCAAATTCAAGCCCTGCCAGGTGGCCGCTGGGCTCAGGCACCTGAAATTCTCCCAGAACAGGGCAGCATTTGGGAAGGGAGACCCCCCCCCCCCCCCGCCTTTCTCTTTCCTCTCATGCTTCTTGACAGCCCTGGCTGGGAGGTGCTGGGAAGGTGCCAAGTGTGTCAGGAGTTTTCTCTCCCTCTCCCCACTGCTCCTTCCTAGCGCTCCCCCTGCCGTGTCAGGGGCTGGATAGGATCTGAACGGCGGCCCCCGGGCCCTGAGGAGGTGGCTGGCTGTGTTTTACAGATGGAAGATGAGGACTCCATCCTGCCCAGGAAGCTGCAGGCCGCCCTAGAGCACATCTTGGAGCAGAGGAACGAGCTGGCGAGTGACAAGGAGGAGGGTGCTGTGAATGGCAAGCAGGGTAAAGCGCAGCGCTGTTCAGCTTAAAACTGTGTCTCCTCCTGCCCCTTTTGCCTCCTGTCCCTTCTTAGAGGTTCATATTGAATTAAGCACCACAGAAATTAGAGTTAGGTCAGAATTTTCCTTGAAGCTTTATTAAATATTCCATTGCGCTGACAACCATTTCTCTTTGTGTGAAGAGAAACATTACTTATCCCCTTCACGGCTTTGTCCCTCCTTCCCTTATGGCTCCAGGGAACAACTGTAATCCTTTCTGGTGGGTTTACGCAGGCTCCCTGCTCTTGATGGCGTGAAGGATGCAGACTCCTCCAGTGGACAGTCCGCACACCCAGCTAGTCCCAGGGGCAGCAGCTGCAAGTGGCTGGGCTCTGACAGCTCCTGGGGGGCGGTGTGGGCATAGCCTGGTTGCAAAGGAGCCAAGACAAAGCTGGGTGACTTTCAAAGTAGCAGCAGCCCAGTCCTTTGCCTTGGAAAAAGAAAAAAAAAATGCATAATTTGTACCCAGGAGTGGTACGGCCCCGTGTGTACAGATGAGTAAAGGAGAACACGTTTTTTCCTAGCACGCCCTTACAGCGCTGTCCTCACTGCTGCCTCTTCGTCTTCTCCTCAGAGACCAGCCCGCTGAACGAGGTGGTGTCCGAGGCCTTTGTCCGTTTCTTCGTGGAGATCGTGGGCCACTACTCCCTCTTCCTGACCCCCGCTGAGCGCGAGGAGCGGACGCTGCAGCGCGAGGCCTTCCGCAAGGCCGTCTCCTCCAAGAGCCTCCGCCGCTTCCTGGAGGTCTTCATGGAGACGCAGATGTTCGGGGGCTTCATCCAGGAGCGGGAGCTGCGGAAGCAGGGGGTCAGAGGTGAGGGGCTCTGCGGTCCTGGAAGCCCTGCTGTTGCTCCCGGGAGACGGGAGATGCCACCAGCTCCTTCTCCAGCAGTGTGGCCTCCAGCAGGAGGCTCAGTGCCTGTGCAGAGACATTGCAAGGGAGGTGGCAGGGAAGGCTGGTGGTTTGAATCTTCTGACAGCCTTGTGCAGCCTTCAGGAAGTTGCTCAGCAATTTTTTGTCTCTGTTTCCTTGTCTTCCCCTCACAGGAGGGTGGTGAGATGTAGGGTTTGCATCGTGCAGAGGAATCAGCTGCTGGAGAATAGGGTTTTCTATGTGGCTTACCCCACTGTCCCTAGGACTCTACTGACAGCTAAAGTTTCTCATCCGTGCTGCTGCTCAGTGCTAGCATAGCAGTTTCCTCCAAAGCACTAAAGAGCAACGGGCGCTTAAACACGTGGCTGAGTAAAAGAGTTCTTGCAGTGTGGTAAAATGTGGAGCATGACAGGTCCACAGATGATCTCACCTGCACTCTGCCATGTTTGTAGCAGAGTGAGCAGAGGTTTTGTCTCCTTGCGTGAAGCACAAAAGATCAGTGGTGGGGAGGAGGTGGTAGCAGGGCTCATTTGCTGGGAACCCTGCAGACCCAGACCAAAGCTCCTGTCCCAGATCTGGGCTCAGCAGGTGGAGGAGGTTGGGTGGTTTCCCTCTCATGTGCAAGTTGATTGGTAGGCTGTAACAGCATGTTGGCAGATGCACATTCTAACTCTTATTTATAGGGAAGCAAAGTAAGGGTTGTTGACCTCTTTCTTCCTGCAGGTCTGTTTGAGGTACGGGCTCAGGAGTACCTGGAAACACTTCCCAGTGGGGAGCAGAGTGGAGTCAATAGGTTCCTGAAGGGACTAGGTAAGGGACTGGCAAAACCACCGGCTGCTCAGAAAGCTTGGGCCTCTTGTTGCCTTGAGATATGGCAGCAGAGAAGCTGCTGAAGGGTGGCAGGGCTCAGCTAGTGACTGAGTGGGGCTTCCTGCAGAGCAGCGCGCTAGCCTCAAGTGGTTGGTGCCTGACCACTTAACCCTGCTCTGGCACCGTGTTGGCTCTGCCTCCCCATCTGCCTCTTACCTGGAGGCTCGCGGGGAAGCAAAGTTTAAGCCATGAGCCATGCCTCCCAAAGGACACAGGTGGGTCTGGGGAGATAACAGAGGGACGCCTGTCAGTGCGGGAAGCCCATTCTCCTTTCTCCTTCTCTGCAGGTAGCAAAATGAAATTCCTCCACAAAAAGTAAGCACGAAGCACGTCCTCGCTCCGCAGGAGAGAATGGCCTTACCATTCAGCACCCGATCAGACATACCAACGCCCCCGTCCCGCCTGTTCCTGGGGGCCAGCAGCCTCGGGCGAGCTGACCGCGGCCGGGATGCACGCACAGACGTGCGGTGCCATGGGAGGATCCGATGGCTGCGGCGCTGCCGGGACAGGTCTCTGGATATCCACAGTACCATGCACTGGACCAAGCACTCTCTGAACTCTGCGCTAGCACGTTGCAGACATCCCAGCGGATCGGATCTCTTAGCTAGTCAAATTTTTGGTTCTGTTGTATTTTTTTCTATTTATATCGGGGTTAGGACGAATATTAACCGATGCCTCTTGCCCTGCCTCCTCTCCGCCTGGTGCTGCAGGAGGCCACAGTGGGACTCCGCGAGGCTGAGCTGGCAGAGCTCCGGCACCGAGGAGGGGAGGAACAGAGGAGTGTGGCCGTGGGTCTCTGCAAAGCGAGGACACTGAGAACTGCAGGGCTGATGTGGGCTGACCAGGAGGAGCTTCGGAGCAAGCGGAAGGGCTGAGGGGGAACCACTAAACCTACTGAGGACTCGATCGTCCAGCCAGCCACCGGGCCGGCTGCGCCAGGGGGTCCTGGCGAGGAGAGGCCTTTCCTTATGCAATGTAATTAAAAACCAGTGGTGTAAAAGGCGTGCAGCCCCTGGGGTGTCTTTGGGGGGAGAGCTGCCTCTGCCCACCTGCCTGCCTGGCACGGGGCGTGGGCTGGAGGAGACATCAGGTGGCTGAGCCTGCGCCCCGAGCGGTGGCCTTGTCCCCTGGCCCAGGCTGCTTGCAGAAGGAGCCCAAAGGGGAGCTCACCCTCGGGGTCTCGCTCTGGAGACCCCCTTCAGGTCGCCCAGGTTCTCCTCTCCCACCTCTGTGTCTTGCTGCCATCAGCTGAGGCGCTGCCTGCTGCTGGTGACACCTCCAGCAGTGTTAGGAAGCGGGGAATGGCCGAGGGCAGCTGGAGCATCCTTGGGTCTCCTCCAGAGAGGAAAGGGCGGCCCTGCTGTGGCTGAGAGCTCCTCAGCTCTGCGGGTAGCAGGGGGAGGGCTGCGTGTGGTGCCCCGTGCTGCAGGCAGCTCGAGCAGCGCCAGCAGGCAGCTGGAGCGGGGAGCAGGCCCTGCTGCTGAGGAGGGGCTGTGGGGCTGGTGCCCTTACGTAGGATTTCCCATGTCGTGGTTGCTCTCAGCCAAATCTGGCACACCGAGCTGCGTGCAGTGCCTCGCGCTGTATTGCAGCCTCTCTGAGCGCTTCGCAGAGCGAGAAAGCTTTGGAAAAAGGAACTGAGAGGAGCCGGGTGCTGGTTGTGCTCGCAGAAGAGCCGTGAAATGCAGGAGAGGCAGGAAGGCTGCAGAGATGGCAGGAGCTGTGGCATCACACACAACATGTACAACACGGAGAGGTGCGGGGTGAGGGTGGGGCGGTGCAAGGAGCAGAGGCCGAAGGGATTTAAGGCCAGGCTGTGGAGGCCCTGGAGGTGGCTTTGCAGCAGCCACCGGCCTGCGGAGGTGGAGGGCGAGCAGCACGTGAGCCCGATGCACAGTGGAGGAGGCCACAGCACCAAGCAGAGAAAATCAGCAGCATGTGCAGTGCCAGCAAGGGAACCCGCGGTGTGGTGTGAGGTTGGTCACCTGCTGTGTCCCTGTTCTCTTTTTAAAAGATGTTTTTTTCTTTTAATGAGAGCAAAATGGGGTTCTGCAAAGCTGAAGAGCACCCATGCCTGCTGGGGTGCCCATAAAGCCCCACACAGCAGTAAGTTAAGCTGAGCTTTTGGCTCAGTTCAGGCCTCTCGAAGCAGATGTGGGCCCATCACCAGGCCCAGGAGCTCCGCGTGCCCCTTCCCACACAATGTTTCAGTACCGTGGGACTTTGCCCTGCACCCTGGGCGCTGCAGCAGGGAGCTGGGAGGCTTCCCAGGGTTCCCGATGCGAGCAGGCTGCTTGGACTCAATATTGTGTGACCGGGCTCAAACACCGGCAGCTTTACCTGCAATATCCTAGCAGCCCAGAATAAATCGAGTCGTAAAACAGCCACATTTGTGCCTTTTGGGGGCTGCTCTGCAGCCACTTGGTATTTTGTTAGCAGCGCTAAGGAGAGTGGGGCTCACACCTACCCAGCATATGGCATCCAGGGGTGTTAAAAACCAAACAGCATGAAAAGCACAGCGACAGAAACATTTACAGCTGTATAATTAAGGATTTAAAAGGAGACACGGGCAGGAAACGTCGGTCTCAGCTGCAGGACGGCCTCTCCAGCTTCACTTGGAGCCGCGTGGCTCAGGGAGCAGGGTGCCCGTGTGCCACCCGGCGCTCTGGATGCTGCGCAGGAACCCACCTGTGAAGACAAACCCCGGAGAGCAGCGGGGCTGGCTGCGGCCTCAGGGCTCCGCAGAGCCTGTGCAGGGTGCAATGGGGATGCTGCCTCCTACCTCTCTGCCAGGAGACGGCCTTCAGGCCACAGGTGCCCGCGGGCAGCTTGCAGGTGTACAGCCCCAGGCAGCCGCTGCAGTCCGAGGGCTTCTGGCAGGGCCGGCGCTGGATGCCATGGCAGGAGTGCTGCAGGGGAGGCAGGGAGGTGGAGGCCGTGCCCGCTTTGGTCTTCAGCCCAAAACAAACAGCCCAGGGAAGGGCTCGACCCTGTTAATGCTCCTCGCGCCGGAGAGGCACTTACCGTGTCGGCGTTGAACTTGCCGTGGCCCTTCAGGTGCTGGCTCAGCCCCAGGCTCCTGCTGCGGGAGGGCTGCGGTGGGCGCCTGCGGAGCTGGCTGGGGGGGCCCTGCTGCCCGCTGCCCCTGGCCTCGCTGGGGGCTTGGGGGGGCTCAGCCAGCACCTCCCATGCTCCAGCCAGGGGGTGGCTGCCCTCTGCGCCCTGTCCGAGCAGGGTGTCCCCACCAGACCCAGCTGGGTGGGGGGCTTCTGGGGGCCCCCAGCCTCTGGGCTGCCTCTGCAGGCTCCCTCCCCGTGCCTCAGCCTGTGCTGGGGCCAAGGAGAGCTGCGCCAGCAGCAGGGGCAGAACTGTCAGCACCTGGACCTTCATCATCAGGGCCTGGCAGCTGTGGGAGGCTGCGGGAGGCAGGAGCAGAGGTCGGGGCTGCTGCTCTTCCCCAACACGGTTGCTGGAGTCACTTTTATAGCGCAGGGACCCAGCCCCGGGGCACAGCTGTGTTCCCCCGCCCCTGCCGTGTCCCACCTCCTCTCCCGTGAGCTGCTGGTGGGACATCCCCCTCCCCGTGCTCCCGAGCACCCCAGCACCCTCCTGCCACGGCCACCCATTGCCTGCAGGTGCACAGAGAGTGAATGCTACGAGCCTCCTGAAACTGCTCTGGGAGAGGAAAGAAGCCCAGCGAATGCCTCCACCCGCTGCCGTGGGGCTCCGTGCTTTTCTACGAGCAGAGCCCACACGGGAGAGCGGTGTTACAGCTGCCCTGGCCAAGGTCAGTCAGCTTTGGTGCCCCGGTGGCCAGCAGAGACCTGCGCCTCTGTCCTGGTCCTCGCTGGTGGGTGAGCTCGGTGTGGATCAAAGGTTGAGTCCGCACTGCAGGCTCGCTACCCACCAGCTCCAAAATCCAGCCCGCACCACTGGAAAGGAGCTGTAATTACCTGCAGCATTCACCAAAGCCCTGTGTGCCCACCATGGTTTATAAATTAAAAAAGAAAACCATCCACCGCACCAGGCTCTTCTGTGGAGCTGCCAGCCCACCCCAAGGTGTGAACAAAAGGAAGGCAGGAGCAAGCAGGAGGGCAGGGAGCTGGTTTTGGTACAGACAATGAAGAAACCCGAATAAAGCACAGGTATTTTCACACACAGCTGTTACGACGATGAGCATGGACACCAGTCGGTGGAAGCTGGTGTAAGGCTGTACTGGCTGCTTGTCTAAAGGCTGTGGTCCAGACCTGATTCATACAAAATTGATCTAGATGTAGATGTCCTTGCTAATAAAGAGCAAGAAAGTGCAGCGTTTGCTGGCTGGCTTGGGAAGACCGATGAGGATGTCCTACAGCGTTGTGCTCCTGCCAGCTGAGGCTTAACACAGGCTGTGGCCCACCACAGAAACCAGGAGTGAGCAGCAGGAGGGGGTGTTGCTGCCGGGCCCGCCTGAAGAGACGTGGTCCTGGAGGTCTGGGAGCCAGTGACAGAGCTACCGTGATGATGGACAACACAGACATGAGGTAGAGGAAGGGGAAGTTCCCTCAACAGAAAGTCTCGTAGGAGTGGAGCTTCAGGGAAGCTGGAGGTCCAAAAGGTCAGAAACCAGCTGCTCGTTACCAAGAACTTTGTTGAGCTGGGGCCTCCTTCCATGAGGGTTTACTCCAAAACAGTTTGAGGAGGTGATGGCTGAGAGCGCCGTGGTGACCTAGTCCATCTTCCATACCTTCGCCTCTGGCCAGGTCTTGCCCTGGACTTGTTGCCAGCTGACAGTGGCAGCGCTGATTGCTGGAGAAATGGGCTCGTAGGAGCGGAGGGACAGGCTCGCGGCCAGCAGACCCATCCGGACACAGGTGTCTGTGTCGTGCTTAGCGAGCATCCCTGCAAGGAGGCCTGCCAGTAAGCTGTGGAGAGACAGAAAGGCAGCCCTGAGCGCGGAGGAACAGCCCTGGCCCTGGGAACGTGGCCACTGGGGAGAGAACTCGTTTGGCTCCACATTAACACTTAGAGAAGCAGAATTTGTCTTAGAGGAAGGGTGAGGTGATGATGAGAATTTTGTGCTTCTTATTTTTAGTTTTAAATTTGGAAGGAACAAGTGGTGCTGTTCATATGCATTTTATTTGCTTCTCATCTGAGAAGTCAAGGGCATTTCCCATTCCAACACATTTTCTTTTTTCCACAGTTTTGCAGGAGAGCCAGGAGAAAAGAAAGTGTGTCTACAAAGGGACAAATCTATTTTTCCCTTGCTCTTTAATTATTTTGTCGCTTCTCTGCTGCTTGTTGGTACCTCGTTACACTCCCTCCTTTCCCCCACTGGGATGATACAGATGGGAAGAGAGGTAGATCTCCAAGTATAAAGTGAGAGGGACAGCATACACAAATAGAAAAAGAAAATCCAAAGCTGAAATGAGATTTCTGGTTCAGATTTCTGTCAATGTTAGCAGCAGTTTTCCGTTTGAGATTTCCCAGGAAAAATGATGGCAGTGCTTGGAGCAGCAGCTGTGACCCACAGCTCCTTACAAGGAGGCCATCAGAAGAGGGTAACTCCTGCATCTGCCTACCATGCAGGGCACAGCTTTGTCGAGGCACGGATATGTGCAGGGTGCTGCTTGGGACCAGCTGGGAGCAGCCAGTGTGTGTTCATAGTGAAATGCAACTGTGATGCTAGGGAGCTAGGGAAGGACAAAGGAGAAGGGAAAGTGAAGGGAGAGGATAATAGCATTGAGGATGAAGAAGGAAGGGCAGGAAAATGTGACAACAGGGAGGATTAATGAGCAAATTCGTGTGAAGGGGAAAATGACTCCTTTTTTGCACTCTGGCTAATTACCTCGTTTTTTTTCCCCCCCTTAACAAAGGCACAGAAAATTGTGGTTTCAAGAAACCACTCAATCTCTCAACAGCTTGAGGCTCAGCGTAAATATTTGGGGGAGCATCCCCTAGCAATGCCGAGTGCGGGCACGCTGTTGCCACAGCAGCCGGGTGCAAGGAGCAAACAGCCCCTGCTCCCCGCACGCAGACCCCGCGGCTCCTTGGGCAGCGGCTCTGGGTTGTAGGACAGCCTCGGGATCCCCCAGCCGTAGGAGCTGAAGGGTTTGTAGGGCTGAGCTGTGGATGTGCAGTAGCCCTGAGTTATACCCTACTGCGTGGTCCCTTGGAGAAGCCAACAGGCTGGGCCGCCTGTTGTACTCCTGTGTAACTCAGTGGAGGTGTTTGACAGTGGCGCACGTTACCTTGCCTTTGCTCTTCCCTTACATTAACCCTTCAGAAAGGGAAAGGAAGCCATAAGGAAGACATTCAGTTTCCATTGGCCCCCAGAACGAATCGGTTTGGGGCAGTTGTGTAGGAGCAGATGGTGCAGGGAGGAGGCTGCGCCCCTGGCGGGGCTGCCAGAGGCTGCTAGAGGCAGCGAGCAAAGCCAAGATGCTACGGGATGGGTGACCCAAGAGCTTGCCCCTGGGCCCCGTTGCTTTGTTAGACCTGCACTCAACATCACCGTGGTCTTCTTCAGGGTGTTGTGCCAATGGCAGTCAACTCGTCTGAGAGATGATTTGGGACACTAGGAGTAATCAGAGGCTCTGGCATTAGGTAGACTAATTCGCTTGGCAAGAGTTGTTGCTTGAAACTAGCTAAAATATTGAGGACTCTGTAAGTTATCACAAAGATGACTATTCTTTCTGCCCACCCATCAAAGAAAAAAGGGGAAATGTTGCTATGTTGAGTTACTGCTAGGTAAGAGTAGAAAAATATGAGGAAATATCTCACATACAGCCTTCTGGTCTGGCCCAAGGCAATGAAAGGGAAGAATCAACTATTGCAGGAAATGAATAAATAAATAAAACGACTGCTGCATATAGTTTGACAAGTTAACAAGGAGCATAATAAAACACTACTCTGGCAGACTGAGAATTGATCACCGGGGGTAGGAATAATACTTGTCACTTCCTACTCCCCTGTACAGCACTGTGTGACCAGCTAGGCGAATTATACAGCAGGCTCTTTTGAAGCACGAGCTATTGCCAGAGGCTAGTGCAGAACCTGATGAGATGCTTTTACAGGGCAATTCTAGCTGCTGAGTGGCAGTCCCTCTTCCACTGGAGAAGTGTGGAAGTAAATTAGCTAGCTAGTAAGTCAGCTTTGATGTAAGGTGGTTTACTTTGCTTTGAGCAGCTCAGCCCAGAGAAAGTCAGAACTCCTGGATTGCCATGAAAGACTTGGATTGTAAGGAAAAGCAAAACTAATAATGGCAAGACTGGCTTCAAGATGCTTAGCAGGACATTTTTAGCAAGCATTGCATGGAATCACAGGAACCAGCCCTGTCCTTGTGTCTCTAGTGTCTGTTCCTCAAGCAGCAGAATGGAGTTGGACTTTGCAGTAGAATTTGAAAGAAATCCCATTATGACTGTTCCACATTTAGCTGGAGAAGATAGAGTAGCTAGAAACATACCTGTCACCAGCTCCGGAGACATTGACTATCTCCTCCCTGCTGATATGGATGGCAGGGTAGTGGGTGGCACAGAGGCTGGCAGCAGCAGGCTGTGTGGGGAAACAAGGGACGTTAGTGGGAATTGCCCAGGCTGGTAGGGTCTGATGTGGCTGCTGCCATCCAGACCCACACAGCAACCAAAAATATATTTAAAAAAAAAAAAAGAAAAAAAAGAATAAATGTAAGCCATAAGCCAATAATCTTAATAATTGTTTTTCATGGTTTGGAGGAGATCAGTGATTTAAGTTGCTGAAAATGAAGCTTGCCGTCATGAATATTCAGGGCAAGCACATTTAGAATGAGCTGGCTGTAAGCACTGCTGTTAGGAGCCAGAAGGACAGACAACATGATTTTCTTCGCTAATCCTCAGAGCCTTGTATTCCGCCCCCAAACATGAACACTTGCCAACTGTGATGCCACGTTTCCCAGCACTGCTGCTTCGCCACCAGAAATAGCAGCGGTGCTGCATGGTCCCAGGCAGAAGCAGCCGAGAGCCCAGGGTTGGTTTTCCGTGCCCTTACCTGCTCGTGAGCTGCTGGACGAAGCGAGATGCTCCCTCCCAGGCTCTTGCCACAGAGAAGGACGCCGTGAGCGCCCAGGGTCACCACCACGCAGCACAGGTGGGCCAGCAAAGGGCGGGCCAAGGCCATGGCTGTCTGGATAACGTCCTCCAACCGGGACGGCAGCTCTGCGGGCAGCAGGGAGGAAAAAGGGTGGCATAACTTTAAAGGTCCTCAGCAGGCCCTTATGTGGGCTCCTACCCCTACTTCTCCCACTTATGAGCACAACTAGTTATAAGCAATACTGAAATGTGGTTGGTTGGTTTGTTTGTTTATTTTCTTTGAATCGTAGGAAACATGAAATTCTCCATCATTAAACTTCCATACCATTTATCCTAAGCTGAGGAAACCACCATCACGGGACTACAGATGTGTCTGTAGAGACCAAAAAACTGTCCAAAAAAAAACCCCATGACTTTCTTGTTTTGATACTTTCAGACTTCCACCTGCATGTGGTGGGGTATTTCATTTCCCCAGAGGGTGATGCCTTTGGGGCCCTCAGAGCATCATGCTTCACTGAGACATTTCTAAACTAAAAATTATTCTTCTTTGGATGGTGAAGCAAGGAAAATGGACAAGGAGCCACCCTGGGCCTACTGCATTCTTAATAGATCATCAGTCTGGCCTGGGCTGTACAACCCCTGCAGAGATGGTGCAAGGTGGAAGATGCCAAGACTGCTTATGAATTCCCACTGTGTTATAACTCAATTTGATTGAAATGGGAGATGGGGAGGCAAACACTCTCTCCAGGGTCTAGATTATCTGAAAATGTGATTGAATCTTCTGAGCGTTCAATACCTGCTGGCAGAGGGTTCCCAAGGGTCCGATTTATTGCTCTTAGCTCTTGGAGGTTGGGGGAAATGTACGTGAGTGCTTTCCAGCTGTCTGAGAGGAATGGCTTAGAGGCCTTGTTCTCATCCGTTGGCTCATAGCACACTTAAAAACAACATTGCAATTGGTTAGTTAATTATTTAATCAGTGGTTCATCTCTACATCAGAGCAGGATGCAGTGCAGAAGGCGAAGTGAGATCTGCACAAGCAGGGTTATATGTGTAATGTATTAGAAGCGAAATGTTATTTCCCTGTTCTGGAGAGCAGGTCTCCCCAGTTTTCCTTCCTGTTGCTCAGCAATGACATGGCTCCTTCTGGCTCTGGAGTGATATAATCAGACTTCAGGTCTGTTACCCCTTTTAGCTGGTTTTGGAGCCTCTGCCAGGTTTTAAGAACATTGTCTCCTCCTTCAGGATTTGCTTTTTAAAATGGAGGGGTAACTCCAAAGGTTCAGGAGCCTTGTGAAGGGTCCTCAGTGTACCAGGAGAGGGGCTATGTATTTTGGGGGAAATGTGAGAGAAATCCTCCCAAATGATGCTTTAGCACTTTGAGAAGCAAGCTACAGAAGCACACGCATCTGCTAGCCTGGAGATTAAAGGCAAAGAGAGCAGCTTTTTCTGGCAGTGCTGGAGGGCTGTAGCTCCTACGCTACAGGAAATGCGCTTTAGCTGCAGGATGAGACAAACTCGGAGAAAGCAGAAACGCTTCAACCATTTGAAATAAAGCAAGTATAGACAGGAGCCCTGAGCAACACAGCATGTCAGGCAAGAGCTGGGTATCTCTGTCAAGCAGCAGAGGAGGGTGCTTGGGGTGTGTGGAGTGTCCCAGTGCACACATTGATAGGAGCTGTGGGGCCAGGGCTGGGAGGGCTCTCCTTACCTGCTAGCTGATGCTCCCTAGCTAGTTGGCAGACGTACTGGATAGTGGACAGAGGCACGTTCCCATCGATGCAGATGAGTGGGGCCCGGCACAGCTTCTCCTTGAACTGGGACACCTAGTGCAAATCCAGGACACAGAGCAGAGACAGCCTGAGTCATTGCAGAGGGACCTGTTCACACCGAGGATGTACGATTCTCACTCGTATAGCAGTTCTCGGGTGCAGGCATGAACCTAAAGGACTGATTCCCTAAGGAAGGCGGATCTCTCTGTTTACCTCTCGTCCTCCCCTTCTTGTTCCCTGCTCCCCATCATTAAGAGGCAGACTCAATGGGCAGGGCCCCTCCGGCAGAGAAAGATGCTGGTCCTCCCCAGACCACTTTGATGCCCCTGGCTCAGTCAGAAACCTACAGGGAGAGAGAATGCTGCTATTTAAGGTCACTGTAGGACTCCCTGTGCTCTGTCTGGCCTGACTGCTCCTTCACTTGCTGCCTGTGTCCTTCAGATGTCCTGAGGAGGGCTTTGCAACAGCTCCTGCAATGACCAGGCAGGCAGTGGGAAGAGGGGAAGTACAACGCCAGCAGCAAAACCAGTCTTGGAGAAGTGAGAACACCATCTGAAAGTGGGTTTTCTTTCTGAACTTGGTGCTAACAACCCAGTGAGATGCAGGCTTTTGGCTGGTAGCTCCCTTTCTGGAGGAAGATGACTTAAATCACCCTTTGAAGAGGCACATAGACTGGCTCTTTGTTGTCTGGGGGTTTTGTTTTATCACATTTAATTTCCTTTTGTCTGTTCATGCCCTGTCCAGCTCTTATGTTTAGCCCTGAGGCTACAGCGCTGCTCAACACAGTGCTTTGTTACTGCTGTCTGTGAAGCAGGTAGTGGGCACCTGCTGCCCCTTGGCTCTCTGAGGCTGCACGACCACTGCCCAAACCCCAGGCCAGTGCCATAGGCACTCGTGCAGCCTCCCTCCTGTGTCTCCACTAATCCTGGCTGAAAGAAGGACTGCCAAAATGCACTTTGCAGCAGAAGATTGGTTCAGATTTTCCACTGGCCACAGCTGTTTCATAAAGCTCAACAGAATTAATCTGTCTTGTAATGGTTCTCTGTGCCAAGGCCTGGGAGAGGCAGGGTGGGGATGGAAGTGGAAGCAATGACCATATTTTTTCCTACGAAGCCTCCACCTCACGGGGAGCCCACCGGTAAGTAAATTGCACTTAACTTTCATGTTGCTGTCAGTCATGAGGTACGGGCTTTTGTTCTGCTGACAGCAGAATGAGTAGGGAAGGAGGGTGCAGTGACGGGGCTTTCACTGAATCAATCTGTAATTAATGCTTCCATTAGCCCTGATGTTCTGAAGGCTTGGATGTGCTGAGAAGCAGCACCTGGTTATACGACTCAGCATGTAGAAACAAAAGGGATGGCGGGGAGGGGGTGGAATAGAGAAACTTTCTTTAACCAGTGTTCTGTCCAAGGCTGGTTTCTGTTTTTTGGTTTTCCCCTAACGGGGGAAATGTCATTTCTGCAGACAGACTGGATTTACTGATGGCTTTATGGTACCACAAGTGATAGGTTAACTGGAACTTGTCACTGAAGAGGCTTCTGGCTCACAGGTCAAACTCCACCTGGGTAAGCAGCAACAGGTAGCTCTGGTAGCTTGCCATGCTGCAATCCCAGTGGCCAATGTCTGGGGTTAACTTTAGGATTTCCCACGTTCCCTCCACACACCCACTCACTCCTGGTATAGCTTCACTAGCTGTTTTTTTGTCACACATCCACACTCCTTCTCTTAAGCAGCAGGTTACATACAAATCAGCTGGCATGCATACATATTGCTCTGTTATCTGCTGGTGGATGTCCATATCTCCCAAGCCAACGCTCAGCTCCCCAGCACTGGTGATCACCGCACAGTAAGTGGCTGTGCTCTGCCTCTCCAGCTGCAGGATGGTACTCATGTCCTAAAACAAGGAGAGCAGTTACCAGTGGAGCACGTTTCTCTTCCCTGTCACTCGGCTCAACGTCCATACTCTTTCCCCGTGCCCACCTGATTTGTAGCTACAGCCCAGCTCGTTGTTCTCCCTTCAACCTCCCTTAGGGATATGGTTTAGTGGGGACTGTTAGTGTTAGGTTAGAGGTTGGACTCGATGATCTTGAGGTCTCTTCCAACCTAGAAATTCTGTGATTCTGTGATTCTGTGATTCTCCCTTAAGACAAACAACATTTCAGGGAAATCTTGGTCTCAGCAGTGCTGGCAGATGGCTGGTTATTAATATTTGCAACGCAAGAGAAGCCACAGCAAAGATTAAAGAACTGATTCAGTAAATGAACGCGACAGGCCTCTGCCACGCAGTTCCATAGGTAGTGTCCTTGCTGTAAGGGAAGGGTGTCCTGCAGAGGGCTGAAGCACTGCCTGCCCCAGCCATCCTTTCCCGTGGCTTATGTGAGAGATCTGATGGCGTGCCAGGCACACCTTGGTGGCATGATCCAGCTAGTGATGGTGTTAGCGACCTCACTGACTGCACAGGCAGGGAGGCCGATTTTGATGGCAGCCTCAGAGCCCTTTTCACAGCAGTCATGGACATAACTGTGAGGTGTCCTTCCTCTGTGGGCAGCCTGAATGATCTGCGGAGAGAATGTGGGGCATTTCTGGGAATGTGCATGGGGATGGAGAAGTGCTTTCTGCTGAGTAGTTCACAGGGAAGTTGGCATCACAAGGGCAAGGTCATCTCCAGCACTGCTGGTAATGTTTCTTGCAGGCCAGGATTGCTTGGCAGCTAGTCCTGCTGCATCTTCCCTTGGGAGACCGCTCACTGTGATAGCTCAAACTGTGCCATGCTTGGGTAGAGGAGAGATTACAGGTCTGCAGCTATCAAGCCTTTATATACTAAATGCGAGTTCTTGTTCCTAACACTGCTGTTATTGAGCTGCTCAGGTAGCCAGAACTAAGGCCTCAGGTGCTCTTTCTGTCTGCACATCAGGGTCCTGAAAGCACTAACAGAAATTAATGGCCCTGACCAGCCTCACCTGGGGTCTCCACCCACACCCCTGGCTTGCCATCAGCTCTGTCTTTTCTCCACAGGGGTGCCTGAGGGCTGGGGTTGCTTTCAGGGCCTGCTCTGCTCCCTGCCTGGCCAGGCTGTGCCCTGACAGCCCTGGGGAGCTCCTGGCTCCCTGACCTGTGAGGACAAGTGGCTGTGAGTGCCAGGTACTCCTCTGGTGCATGGTGAGGGGTGTGGGCAGCTCTGTGGAGGACCCTGCTCTGAACTGGGGAGGTGCCTGGCTTTGGGTCCCAGTTCTGGGCTTTCTCTGTCTCATGCTTTACCCAAATCAGGCTGTTTTGGCATTGCTTTGTTTATCCTGAGGGTCACGTTTTGCATATTTCTGGCTGTACTTAGGTCTTCTTAGGCATTTTAGTGGTTTCTCCTGATTTACCTCTCTTGGTCCTTCAAACACCAGTCCCTGGAGCTGAATTCAGGCCACATGGTTCAGACTGCAAACTGTACATATATGTAGCCTGTGTGCTGGGGGTGGCTCCTTGCTTTTTAATTGTCTGTAACTAAAGGAGCATTTAACTGGTCTCACTCTTAGCCTGATGAAAGGTGATTCTTATGACTGCCAGGGTTAAAAGGATTTTTCCCTTTATGTAGTGTCATCACCTCCGTGCTTCTCAAGTGCCACTACGGTGCAACGTACCATGTGCTGACAGTAGTGCAGGATGGACTCTGAGTGTTCGTCCTTCCCCACAGCAGACAGAAAGAGAGGAGTCAGCCCGAGGCGGCTTAAGCAGTCTAAAAGCAAACAGAAACAAAAGACATTAATAGATCTGTCGGAGTGCTGTGAAAGCAATGACAGCCTGTGCAGGCTGAGTGTCTGCAGGAAAGCCCTCTCCTGGAAAACGTAATGCCCATCTATCCTCATCTAGCAGGATGTTCAAGGCTGCAGCTGCTGCCAGGCTGGCTGGGCTGGGTTGATCTGTGGCTGCCTGCCATGCTGCGGCTCTGAATCTTCTGGAACCACTGGGAGAGGAGGAAAGAGGAGAAGGAGGAAGAAACTTATGCATTTCCCTGGCATCATTTCCTTCACCTATCACAAGCATGCAGGCTAGCCCACATCGCTTCAGTGCGCAGCCTTGCTGTCCTGCTTTTCTCACCATACTGTCTTACTGGAACCTGAACGGCCTCACAGGAAACCCTTCCTCTTCTCCCTTCAGGTTACCGAAATTATACCTCAGCAGATGGGTGGCATTTCTTCTTTCCTCAAGCTTCCCCACTTGGGATCTGAAGTGACAGTAGATCTATGTTAAGAAGAGTTGGGAAAGGCCAACAAGCCAGAGTAATCCAAAGATCTGTTTGTAATGTGCCCCTGCTAATTTCAGTGGGCAAACACAGGTCTGCTACTGCTTGTGGAGGAGCAGCAGGCACGCTGTAGTCCTTTGCTGCTGCCTGTAGCCCTTTCTCTCCTACAGTAATTCCTGTGCCCTAGCTCCTCTTGTCCCTGGTGCATGGATGATCACCTTTGTGTAGGCCTAGTCAGTCCTCAGGACATACTTCATTGTGACTACAACCTGACATTAACTCAGAAACCGAGGACCAGGCTGTTCAGCAGTCATTGGAGAACACTAATGTTTAACTTTGATTTGGGGTCTCTGTGCTATATACTAATTGATTTCATATTTGAGGACCTTTCTTTTCACAATCGCTGCCCAACTCCCTCCTCCCCTCTTATTTTTTGGAGTGCCTCTGCCTTTTCCAGGCAGTCAGTCCCCTGGTATATTGCCTAAAGCGTCCCAGATCTCAACAGTTCCTGCTGTTGAAGGAACATGAAAGGACAAATCACAGCTGACACGCACCCACAGGCAAACCCAAGCACTAGGCACCTGCCAAGTTTCTTCCAACGCCGCCGAAAGTTCGTCTCACTCTTCCAGCATTCGTTTGCCCACCACCCTGGAGGAATAAATTATTAATCAGCAAAGCTGGGAGAACCATTTGGCATAGATGCCATCTCTCCATTAATATTTGAAGTGAAGTTAATGCTGCTGAAAGGGCAGCAATTAAGGGGGCAGAAGCCATCTAGGTATGGGTTTGTGCGCAGCACAAACTCCCACGGCCCATCTGCAGACTTCAGCCCTGGTGACAAAGAGCCACTTCCTAGGAGGGGAGATCAGTTTGGGCTCCCCATGTATTGCTGTCTTGGTCTTGTTGGCTAGAACCTTTCTGAATAATGTCAATATGAGCAGCCCTCTGAATTTACTTGCTCTTGTCAGCACTGTGACTCCAGAGTCCCATTTTTTTTCCCCATTTTGAAGATAGAACGAGCTTTGTCATCTTTGCCTGTACTGTCCTCTGTGGGCAATACTTTACTCATGGAAGGATCTATTTCAGTGTCTGAATATTTTTCTTCCATTTACCCTTCTCTTCCCAAACATCTCCCTCCTCAGAAACACCCCTTTCCACCTGTGTGATTACCAGCTTCTCTTTTCCCTTGCCTCTGCCTTCTCTGTCCATCTGTCAGTCTGTGACAAATGACCGAATTGTCAGAAGGTAGGCAGTCCCTCATCCATCTCCTCCTGATTTTCCTGCCAGAAGAACTACCTCAGTAAGTGCTCCGATCTCTTTGGGCTTCATCACTGACTATCAAATGGTTTTAAAGCTCCTTTTTCATAAAAACCTGAAACGTATTTTCCATTTCAGAAGAGAGCTTGTCACTGGCATTCGTAACAATTTTAACAGCTCTGGATAATCCATAGCTTTCAAGAGTATGTTGAGTGTTTGGGTGGCAAGTGCAGAAGCGTCTGCATGCCCGTGCAGAGCAGCTCCTGGCACAGACTCTCATGTCAGCTCAGGTGCACCAGAATACCCCTGCACATGCACATTTTTCTTGCTTGTAAACACTTCTACCCATCCTAAACAAGGATTTTACCTTGGGGTAAAAAAATGCTCTTCCTCCAACCCCTCACAGTTCTTGGGGGTTCTTAAAACTCATACCAAAGCTTTCTAGGGACCCTTCTTCCACTGTGCCAAGCTTTGCTCTCATGGACCTGTACATATCTGTCCCTTATAGGCAATACTTTCTTCATCCCGTCCTGTAACTGAGAGGCTGCTCTTCCATGTAAAAATGCTCTTTTATTACCCCCAGGCTGCTTTTGTTTCCCGTGAGTCTCCCCAGTTGTGCAGTCTGTAAGACTTGATGCTAATTCTTGACCCTTTTGTTCCTCTGCCTGGCAGTTCTCCAGGCCCAGCACTGCTCAGACACCCTGAGCAGCACTGCAGATAAACAACCTATCACTTCTGTCCACCTTTCCACTCCTCACTCACCCAAACACCACTCCATCACATTTGCTTATGCTCCCTGCGAATTACCACTGGTGCTGGCCCCTATTTCGATATTAAAAGAGGGTGCTGACTGCCCTTGGTAATGAGCACAGACTCCACTCAGTGCAGTGCAAGTATCTGGTTTTCAAAGCTGATACCAGCAGGAGTGTTGAAAATACTCATGAGCTCCCTTCTTTGCCTGGCATGCTGATCTTCTCTTTCAGTTCGCCCCCACATTCCAAAGACAGAGCTTCGGGTTTTTTAAGCCAAGCTTTGCCCTAACAGTGGGTGTACCAGCCTCCCACTCAGGGACCCAGCCGGGGTGTGTTCTGGTGTTGTACAGCCCCACAAGACATAAAGAAATGAAGATTAAATCGCCTTAAAGTAGCAAGTGGGTGCAGTGAGAGGTGAACTAGCAACATGCTTGTAAAGACAAAGCAATGACTGGCCCTTATCACACCTTGCCAGCTCAGCTGGTAACTCAATCTGAGCAGCACTTGGGTATCTCTTCTACATTGTGTCCAAGTGGGTTTGGCTAAGATGAAAACAGGCTTGCTGAGATGGTTTGCAGTATGACTGAGTTGATGCTTTCTGGCAAGGTTTCAGGGAATTGACAGTGTCTAGGACCTTCTTCTGTGTCCTGAAAGAATTGAATTGCTAATGTAAAAGTGAGACTCTGCTCTACTTCTGGATATCCTGAGAACATTATAACCAGAATGCTTCATCCAACACCTTTCCCTCTGCAAGAGACCATGTGTCTTTCTCTGCAGATGACTTACATCCAAATAGTTATTTATAGGGCACTTTGCTTCTGGATAGCCTTGAAAGCTATGTGGAAGCTAAAAACAGTATAGAATACAGCTGCTTTCTTGCTAACTGGGACAGCACGAGGTGCAAGTGGTACCCTAACGCTCTGCAGTGAATGCAGCATGTATAAGGGTGGGACCTGCTGGGTGCTGATGTCTTTGGAAAAATCTGTCTTTAAGAGCCAAAGCAGACCAATACTGCTGAGACTGCTTTTTCCTCTGTGCATAACCACAGAAGCTGTCAGCAGAAACATTTTGTCTGTCAGTTCCCAAATCCTCCTGCAGCTTGGTATTTGGGTAGCTGCCCTGATGGGCCTTCAGCTCTAGGGCTCACCGCTATGCATACAGGCAGGTATTACCTCACCTTTGAATGCAACATTAACAAATTTTTCCTTTTCCCTTGCCAGCTGCTCCCACTGGGATGTGTGGCTGTCCTTGCCCCTCACCGTGCCATGGGTGGTCCAGGGGTCTGCACTCACCACTGACACACCAGGAGGTGGCTTGCCCACTCCTGGTCGCAGTTTGGGGCATGTATGCTACCAGTTAGATCACAGCTGAAGCAGCTGGGCTTTAAGTTTTACAAGTCTGCATAGCTAATGCTCTGGCATGTGTCACCTTTGACCCCTATAATACTGTTTGGCCTTTGCCTCCATATCCTTGAATAGCCAGCTTCCTTAATGAGAGCTTCCCCAGCAGGTCTTTCCCTATCTGACTGAGAGGTCTTCACAGAGCGCCCCATTTGAAGGAAGAAGATGGCCACGAGTTTCTGCTCCAGCAATCAGCATAGAGTAACTTGAGATGCTAAACAAATTGTGAGCAAGCTCCACCAACTCAGCCTGTGGTACTTTGTGTTATATCTCAACAAAAATTCTGTAGGCTGTGTAATGGCTGTCATTTGCAATGGGGAAGTCCCATACCTGCAAGTCTGTCCCACTTTAGCCTCTTGGTTGTTTTGTGGTCAAACCACAGTGAGAAAGAGAAGGTCTGGTGACATTTAAAATGCTCAATATTTTTAGAGCAATCTGTGTGTGTGTGACTCAAACCCTGTATGACTGAAGAAGCTGGCTCTCTTGTTTAGCTGTAACTGTGTCAGCACTACTTTTCTCAAAGGCTTCCACTACCACTGTGGGTATTCCACATGGGGTCTTTGGCTCCTGTTCATGCCACTGTCCATTGCTAAGACAGCCCCAGGCAGCCAGAACTGTCTCTTACCTGGGGATTTCCTCACCTGGTCTGTCCTTGGTTATGGGTTAGCACAGTGAGGGTCTTCACCCATGGCTTCTAGCTCTTTGCATATGTGCTTAGTGAGTGACCTGGGCAGCTCTTCTGCTAAAACAGCTCTTTGGGCCTGCGGCATCAGAGAAGAGCCCAGAGGTACCTTAACGCTGATTGTCAAGGCTGGAGTGATATGTGGAGTTCATAAGGATGATATATGGCTCTGATCTTGTCTGGATTGGGAGGGATAGTGACTTTCAGCATGTGAACCGAGTAGGTCAACGTGTATCACCCCAGGTCTAACCCAGACAACGCACCGAACGTGCAGCACTACACCTTCCGTGTTTGTGTGTGTGTGTGCTCATACAGACACAAAGATAACGTGCACTGACACCATCTCTTCCCATCCCCAGCCCCTGGTTTGGCTTGGTACTCCTGTAAAAGTAGCTGGAAATGGCAGTGGCACTAAGAAAGCTACTATAGATACAGTACCAGAATGACAGGGTTCTGCGCCTTGGCTATAAAGTCAACGTTGATACCTCCAATCACCACCTTTAAAGGGAAGAAAGAAGTAAAAAAAGTGGTTGGAAGGACTTAAGGGAAAAGCTCCAATTTTCCTTTGCCTTTCTTTCCCCACTTTACCACCCTCTTGAAAGCTATCTCATTTACAGTGTGAAGGCCTGTGCTTGTTTTGGCTGGCTATACACAGGTCTGCACAATTCTAATCATAAAGAATGGAAGTCTCTTCTAAATGTTGCTTTCTGAATTATGCCTACTGATAACCAGCCCCACCATGGCAGGACATCATTGTGCACATACAGGGGTGCTGGCAGTTTCACTGGATGGTTATGGAGTAATGAAGAAGCTGCATGATCTGGTTATGTCAATGCCCTTGAGGCTTTCTCTCTTAGGACAATTTTTGACGTACCAAACCTCAGAAGGATTCAGTCATTGCCGTGTAAAGGGGAGGAGAAGGGGTAAGAATGGAGAAAAGAAAATGGGAAAAAGTGGGCAGAGAAATGCAGTCATTTCTTGCAAGCTCCTGGAAGACATTGTCCTGCCCAGTGAAACTTTATTGATCATTGTCTTATTGTCCAATAAAACCAGAAGAAGCAGCATAGCTCCACAAATGGGAAGTTCCCAGATTCTTTGGGGACATAGAGCTCTTTTTTTCCTCATTCTGTCAAATGCTGGGTTATTGCCTTTGGAGTCACTGCGTTCTTCTATGTTAAAAAATCCTACTGCAAATGGGTTTTAGAAACTTCTTCAGCTCTCTAAAGACTACCTAAAATAGATTTGCTGTAAATCATGTAGCACACACAAAATCAAGATAGTGAATGGAGTATGAGTTATAATGGATCTTGTTTGGGATATGCTGTACCTCTTGTAATTTTGGCAGTCATGAGCAGGAGGCCAACAAAAAAGAGATATTTATAAAAAGTGTGTGACTCAGCAGCTTAAAATATCCACCTACCACCACCCTCTTCCAGGTCTACTGCTGTAGTCACAAGGGCTCCCTGGCACTGAGAGGAATACAATTGAAGTTGTATGTGAGGTCACAATAAAAGGTGAAAAGGTGATTAAAGTTTTAATGGATTTGATGGTCTAAGACTTAATGGGATTAGGCCATCATCAGCGTTCATTCTCTGTAAGTAGAGTGGGAGAGGAAATTTATCAGAGAACAATAAAGAAAACTAAAGAGAGAATGTCTGCCAGCATAAAGCAGAGAGATTGGTCTCTGGCTGAGTCACCTCTTATTTTAGAAATAGATAAAAATTTATCTTCGGTGCTGTCAGTAGGTAGGAATTAAACAGAGGACAGCAGGGGACTCACTGGCTGAGGTGGGGTTGTGTCCTCTTGCCGAGGCAGGTTCCCATTCCTTGTAGCTTTCTGCAGTTTGCTCAGGGCCACTGCAATGCAGCTGCCCACTCTGGCGTTGTTCTTGATCAGAGCAAGGTCTGTATGGCATTTTTTTGAGGAAAAGGAAAAATACCAGCAAGATTGACATTATAGAATTCTATGTAGGATCTGCCTTGAGGGGGACAATAGGAAATGCATGCTGTGAGACTTGGTAGATTTGATTGCCCTGTACCAAAATCAATTGGGGGCAGATATACTGGGTTACAGTACTGCATGAGCACTCTGAAGTCTTAAATGTATTCACCTTCCTCCCTCTGTGTCCATGGAAAGTAAATCTAACATCCCCATTTTACAGATAGGGAATAGAAGCAAAGGCCTCCCAGAAGATGAGGTGAAGTGCCTAACCTGAACAGTCTAAAAACCATTAAGGAACTCAGCCATCTTTTCCAGAACTAGATGCCTACTGAGATTTTTGCCAAGTCTCATCTACATGCCCCTTTTTCATCAGTTTCACTGGGAGCAAAGTGTCAGAGGCTTTGAAAAACCCATTTTGTGGCAGCATACAAGTCTAGTATCCAAAACCCCCTTTACTTATCTGCCCTGACTGACCAGCCATGAGGTTTCCCAGAAGGCTGGCAGCAGAGCCTGGAGGTGAACCTGGCTCTCCCAGATGCTACTTCAGCATCCCATCCCTGACTTTCTCTTGCCTGTGCAAGAGGATTCACATTACATAGAAGTATTTTTCTTCCCAGTTTCTCTTACTCTGCACTAGCATGAAGAGTTGCATAAGGCAGCATGTTCACCCAGGCATCTTCAAGTGTACAACCCCACCATGTGCATGGATCCTCAGACTCCATCACAGAGCAGGCAAGCTCAGGGATCAGATGTAAGGGATCCCTTTGGTCTCTGGACCACCTGATCTCTGTGCTGGCCTCCAATTTTTAACACAGAAGTGGATGAGGACTGAAACGTTGCTGCTGAAGAAGCAGGATGAAATTGCTGAGCTTTCAGCTGTTTGCAGATAATGAGGTATTTGCCCCTCGTTAGACTGTCAGTAAAATGGCAGAGTTAATCAGTAAATGTTATTGGAGGAAATGAGAAGTACACTCCTCCTCCTCCCCTCCCTCTGTTTAGTAAAAGGATACTTGAGTCCAGTGATTTCCCGTTGGTTAATTCATTGATCTTCTGTAACATAAAAGGGGTCAGTTCTTTGCCTGTAATCCCTTTGGACCTGCAAATACAAAGAAAATGACTGTAGATGAGACAAACCGAGCTGAAACGGCATCAGAGGAGAAGCACTGCTGCTAGCAGACAATTTATCTCCATAACCACACGCCATAAAGAGTCCTGTAAACAAGCTTCAGGTTACATAAAACAACAGTGAGAGCCTTGTTGTGGGTTCATCCACACCCAAGGTTAAGCTGTGCTACAATCCCTGTGGCAGTGTCCCTGAAGTCATTTATTTCCCCAAGCCCACAGGGTGAGCAAAGGATAGTGCCTAGGGTGCCTCACCTGGCTTCGCCGAGAGCTTGCTGGATGGCTTCTTCAATAACCTGGCCTGAGGCAGCTCGCTCCTGGGGACAGGGCACTGCTATCAGCACCCCGCTGCTCAGGCCTAGCCCCATGGCACTGGCTGGGAGAGGACAGGCAGATCGTTAGCGGCTCTCCTCGGACACGTGAAATGCTGATGGAAAAGGGCAGAGGAGAGTGGGTGCAGGGTGTGTGAAAACATGAGGCTGGAGCTCCTGTTCTTGGCTGACCCAAGGACAGGTTCTTTTCCAGCTAGCAATTGGTTTATATCCTCCTCTTTCTTTTGAGTCTGTTTGTATGATAAGAGGCAAAGACTTTTAAGAACAAACAACAAAGATTCCACTTTTGTGACCCACTGTTCCAGGGCCACACGTGAACCTGCTGGAACACACCGATGAGTTTAGCTGCCTCCTCTTCATCCTGGACGTGATACGGTGCCTTGAAGCCGCTCTGGCGTGAGAAGAAGGCTGGGAACTCCCTCGACTCCCCAAAGGCAGCCACACAGACTCCCTGAGTCTCCTGCAGCCGGGAGGTGAGAAAAGAAGGTAACCAGTGGAGGGAAAGGGGACCCCCAAAAAGAGATTGACTTTTCCCTTCTAACCAGCTAGAAGCTGCTTTTCTTTAGCACAGCGTTTGGTTACTTTTATACATCCCATTCTGTTCTGTTCTGTCAAATCAAACAGCCGGACGCGGTAACTAGTCAGACAGAAGCTGCTTATTGAAACATAGGAGACGCATGCGCTTTGCTCAGAGCTGATCAAAAGCAGGGCAGCTGTCACTAGCACAATACTGAGTCCAAGGTAACAAGCTGGGATCCGAAGTTATGTTGTGAGCTGACAGGAATTTAAATGAGTTCTGCTTCTGATTGAGAGGTATTGACACTGGCTGTCACCTGAAGCGCTGGCTGTGGTGATTTCCAACATACCAAACCTTAACAAACCTTAAAAATGGACTCTAATGAAAATCATCTTGTTTCTCCTTTTAATTCTGATTTTGGTTTAGTGTCTGATGGATCTAGCTTGTGTGATCCATCAGTGCTGGAGCATTTTCCCAGTAGATAGTAAAATGACTCTAAAGCCAGAAAAGAGGCCATGGCTTGGGGTATCTTTGGCCTCAGTTGGAACAGTTGCTGGAACAGCATCATGGACACAGATGGGTTTGTGTTAGGGATAGCCCAGTGCTTGAATAGCCCCAGAACTAGAAAATGACAAATATGGGCCTCACATCCTCTCAATAGTTGTTTGTGAGAATCTTGGGCTTAATAACTGCCTCAACATCGCTGGGCCTTCTTGTCACTGCTGGACTTGGTACACCAAGTATATCATCACCTGCTTTCATTCTCAGCAGCCCGTGATACCTACCAGATATTCCAGTGTCCTGCCAATATCAAGGATAGACTTGACTCCTGCAGATACAACAGCAACTGGAGTTCGTCCTAGCTCTGTCAAGTCAGCACTCACATCCAGAGCTGTCAAGAGAGAAGCAGCTGTTGTTTGTGATAGCGTTGTACACCAAGGTGACCTTAAATGCCCTCTTAAAAAGCTGTATCTGCCTGGGATGCCAGGGCCTGCTTTTGCAACCATTTTGATCCACAGACAAACATTACAGGTTTAGATCATGCTATTAGATGTTGCGATTGTAAGAGAGATTGATATAGGAAGAGAGACTGAAAACTATGAAGTCACTTGGCCTAGGGCAGAGATGCAGCCCTACACTGACTGTCTCACCTGTTTGTTCACCTCAGAAAGCAGCATGCAAAAATTTGGTTGAAAAGAAAGAAGAAGGTGTCATAAAACAAGGACAGAGTTCAAGAAGATGGAATATAAGAAGACTTTGATTGTGGTGTTGACATAGCTGGCAGAAAAGCACCACAGGAGCTCTGCTGACCTCAGGAAACCCCCTGGTCTGGAATTTATATCACATCTGAAAGAGACAGCATTCATCAGGGCGGTTTGCTTACACTATGCTAGGAATATACATGGCTAAAAAGAAAGTATGTGCTTAGAGGTCACAAACTACGCTGCCAAGGCTGTGCCATGTCCCCATGTTTCCAGAGAGGAACGTGGACCATGGCCTAAATCTCTTTTGCGGTGAGACCCTCCTCCTCCTTAGCTGTCAGCAAGCCAATAACAGCACCGTGCTTCACAGCCACTGTCAGGTTATCCAGCGAGCACGAAGTGGGGAAAGTACAGTCAGCTCCTGCTGCACCATCAAATAATATCCATATAACCCTGTGCAAACAAAGGATAAAGAGAAACTCCCCCACTCTTATCTGGCCGGTGCTCAAGAGGAATATTTTGAAGCTTCTGGAAAGGAGATACTGGAGAGAAAACAACCAGAGTATGGTTGAGAAGAACAATAACGTTACTCTGCTGAGCAGACAGTTACTGTAGGACAAACCGAGAAAAAGGAAGAAAGATGGGATTAGATAAAACCACAGCAACAAGAAAAGTAGAATGTATCGACTTTCTTACTGTTCTCTCCTCCCCGATGGACGCCTCCGATGCCTCCTGTCACAAACACACAGATTCCTGCCTTGTGTGCTGCAATCATTGTTCCAGACACGGTAGTGCCACCGGACAAGCCCTGTCAGGGGACAACCGGTCACAGTCAGCACCCAGCACGACCCAGAGAACACCGCATGCAGGCAGCTGTGGTGGTGGTCTGACACACAGCAACATCACACCAGGCTGCTGACACAGCTGGCAGGTGAAATTCGGATACAGATATTCCTAGGCAAAAATGCAGAAGAATGATCATCCCTGCTATATAAACTGCTCTTGTAATAGCAAAGGCCTTCATTCTCCAGGGCTCTCCAACCAGAAGGGTTCATGGGCAGCCAGTGTCACCTCAAGCACTAACTTGGGGTGGCTTGTGTATGAACTATGTGACATGATGATACCTTATCCTGCCAATATGAATGTTCTTAGCTTAGCCAGCCAATCCAGAATGGTCTGACTCCAGGTCTGCTATTCCCTGACTAATGTATTTTGACTCTGGATAGGAATATATTTCAACTTACCAACAAGACACCATGTTATGTGGTGTCTTAAAGAGGTTTAGAGCTACCTGGTTTGAAACTGAAGAGCACCCTATTGCTATAAAGAAAACATCAAATAGGAAGCCTGCATTACCATACCTGGCTGAGGACATAAGGAAGATCTCTCCGAGACACTTTAACTACATTTTTACTGCTTGCCAAGAACTGAAGCTCCTCATCTGTGAGTCCCACGTGGATTTGACCCCTTAAAATACCTATAGTGGCTGGAACTGCTCCATTTGTCGTTACAATTTTTTCTACCTCTCTGGCCATGCTAGAATAAGATAGACAAGACAACGATCACAGAATTAGTGAGAAAAATAATCAGTTGAGAAATCTGCAATGTTTGATGGCCAACATTCCCAATTTCCAGTTTTATACAGTCTTTGGGATTTCAGCAAAGTCCAGATCCTCTTCTGTCTCTTGCTAATGGCAGAAGTCTTAGCTCTGCACTGTAAAATCAATGCAATCGAGAGCTCCTGTTTTCAGGACAGCAATGTACAGGCTCTGTGCTTCATTTCTGAGGCAGCATCCATAAAATAGCCTGGTTTACGAGCAAACCTATTATTTGTACAATACGCTACTGAATATTCTCCAAATAGAGCCTTTCAGTATCTATTACTTGTATTTCTGAGAACATAAACCTTCATAGAAACCTGAGATACTTCAAGTCCTATTCGAACAACCAGGCTGTATTTTTCACAATCTGAGCAGTCAGATATAAGGTAACAACAGTGCAGAAAAGCTGCAGCCTGAGAATATTCTAGAGTTTCAGACTAGGTTTTTTGAAGCTTTCCAGGTTTTATATTTGATCATCTGTAGACTACTGTCTTCTTTTAAGAGCAGCTTGTTTTCCCTTTCTGAGCTATCTTTACATACACTAGATAATCTTTAACTCTGAAACTACCTTCTCCAAAACCTTACTGAGCTTCCTTGTAAGATGAAATGCCAGGCAAACCAATGGCAAGGTCAATACTGAAACCTTCCTGTGCTTTCAGGAAGCTAGGATGGAGAGGAGACTGAACGAAACACAAATCTACAGGATATCAATAAATAACAGGTAGAGTTTTTTGTGGGCTTTTTTTTTTTTCCTTATGCAGGGCATAGGTTGACCAGTAGCTCTTGCAGCAGCTGCTCTGAGTGGCACCAATGAGTAGATTTCACTATTGTGTTCTAGTCGTTTTTGTATTATAAAAGGTACACCTAAAGAAACCACAAAGTGTTTTCAGTGTCTATACGAAATATGCAGCCACAAAGTGTGGTTTATCAGTCTTAGAGCAAATGATGATATTTCCTGCTGCCAGATTTTAAAGGAAGCCAGAAATGTGAGGTGTTGAGTAAGGACGTGTGTTGTATGGTTCTGCTCTCCTTAGAAGTCCAAATACAACTGTTTTACACCAGAGCCCATATTCTGTATCCCTAGCAACCTGACATTTCCCTTCGGTTCCTTCTTATAACTTCGTTGAGTGAGGAACATAAAATCCACAACCTCAGATTCTGAGGATAGGCCATGCCATGTGTAATGATGGTGCTTTCCAAGGCTACAACTGGTCTCCCCTCCATCAGGGCTTCCTGTACGGAGGGCTGAATCCTGAAATAAGCACCTGGGGATAAATATAGACAAGTCAGTTATTTGCATGGGTGTTTGCAGTAAACACTGAGCTATTTTATAAAGGCAAATTGTCATCATCACGATACATTTATTATCCTTTTCAGCTAATCTTTGGGGGAATTCAGAAATGACTCCATGGAGACTAAAACTGCGTTTTATGTGACTGCAATATTTGCAAAAACCAACCAAACAAAAAACAACGCTACGATTAATACAAATAATAATCCTCATCACCATCACTCAGTGTTCCTCTCCCACCACTATTGCAGCTGTGTTGTTATTGGCTCCAGTAATATTACTTGAAATGAACATTACTGTGAATGAACTAAGCTCTGCAATAATCATACCCAAAGAATAACGTGTTAATGGAGTGGAAGCACCAAGGATACCATAATAACCCAATATATTATAACACTATTTTGCATCAAAATTTCTCCTAATTTTAATGTCTTTATCAAACAACAGAAACTCCCTGTGCATTTAGGACTTGAAGTATCCTTCCAAAAGCTGAAAATGCTGCTCTTTGCTTTTCTCCCACAATGTTGCCAGCAAGGTTTCTGCTGCATTCGGATGAGGAAGGTGCTTTCTGCCCAGGGACTGTTTCAGAACACACTACTCACCATGCAGAAATCTTCTCACCTGGGTGGTCCTACATGCCACAGTGGACACACATTTTCCCAATCTACAGGTTATCTTTGTAATCATCTTGTGTGTAAGGATGGTCCTGAGAGTATAAAAGTCAGGTTAAAAAATAAAAAATAAAGAAGTAATTAAGCAATGGTGTGACAGTTTACCTAACATTTCTTGCACTGATTTTGGAAAGTGAACAATCCTGGGCTTGCCCAGGAGATTGTGTGGCGGTTCCTGGTGTTTCAAGCATGAGCCCTGGTGTCAAAGCAAAATGTTAAACTGTAGAAGTAGAGTTGTAGGAGTCCATCTAGCCCATTGCCAATGCTAGGCTGAAAACATGGCAGAGCAGAAGAAAGAATAAGTAGTAACAAATTGGAGAGACTTTAGAAGTATGTAACATTTTGATTTCCAAAGCTACTTGTTCACAATAAATTGCAGGCTCAGCCACTGTCACCTTCAGCCTGAAAGATTACAAGGAGAAACCTACAAGGAAAATGCAGGCAGAAGAATACTATAAAGAGAAGAGCCTTTGCGAGTATTTTGAGGGAAACAAGCAGTTCAGTAAAATAAAGAAGCTAAGGACTGGAAAGCCAGATTGTAACCACCAGGAGGAAAGAGCAGCTCTTCCCAGAGCCCAGAGTGCTTCATGCATGCTCAAGTTACATCGTCTTTTTTAGTACAAAGTGTTGGAAGCAGAGACACAATTCAGCCCCGGCAAGAACTCCAGAACTCCTCTTGTCTCTTAGCAACTCCTATTCACTTTAATTAAATTCATTGCAGAACAGAGAAAGAGGGGGAGAGAGTTGCAAAGGTTAAGAGGCTGGTCTGGTCTGGGCCTCAGGGCAGTTTCACTCAGTTCCTGGCTGCTTCACATATTTTTGCTGGGCATTTGGCCATATCCCTCAAGCCTTTCTATTTCTCACCCCTTAACTGGGAGGAAAAGATTTATCTCTTCGGTCCTTTGTGCCTATTGTTAATTCAGATAGGAAATTAGAGTAACAGTACTGCATTCTTGCTACATTTAGCAGATATCAGTGCAATTTGTAGCACTACAGCTACACAGACACATTATATCTGGGAAAAGTTTTTTTTTTTTTTCTTTTTTTTTTTTTTCTTTTTTTCTGTTCCTGGAATCTGAAGACTTAGCCTATATAGGACAGTTTAGTCTGTGTAACAGGGAAAGATAGACTGGTTCTGCTAGACCTCTATTAAGCCACTGAGACAGAGATTGCCATGAAATGCAATACACACCTGAATGAAACAAGGAGATTTTTTTTTTCCAGTTTCCAAATCCTTTTTAAGACCAAAATCTCCACAAAGTTTACGAAATCCTATCATGACACAAAGGTGGCAGAAGCTCCTATTCATGCTTACAATCTCTCCTTGTGCAGTGCCAAATTCAGCAGTCAACAGCCTGAAAAGTTCATGCAAATGCTCTGGGTTCCTTCTGTGTGTGCCTACACACCCCTTGCTCTCTGGGGCAAAGTCAGCTTTGGAATAAATTCATTAAGCCAACAAGGTTACTACGGCTCGGATCGGTTGGGCTGCTCGAGCTGTGCTCTGAATTTTAACAACCCCCCGTAATCTGAAGCACAACAGCCCGAATGCCCAAGCCGAGGCGGCCTGCGGATAAAACACAGCTGGTCACCACCTGACACTGACATGAGTTCGCTGATGTTCGCCAGAAAGTCAGCCAGCACTCGGCCCCAGCAGCCTGAAAGGTTTCTGCAGCTTGGCAAGCGGAGCAGCGAGACCTGCCCGGCCTTTCGCCTTGCAACAAAACTTTGCACGTTCCCGCTGCAAGTTCTGCACAGCTCTGGCACTCAGCTCGCCTCTGAACATCCCCGCTCGCCTCCCCTCCTCGTCCATCGGGCACGTTTGGCTCGGTGAAGCCGTGGCCTGGCGCGTCTCTTACCTCCGGGCGGCCGTGGCACATGGGAGGCTGGCTGGGCTCTGGAGCTGGGCCGGGGCAGCCCTGGGAGAAGGCGTGCCGAGGGGGCCGGCAGCATGGGGGGGCTGAGAGAGTCCATTTATTATTAACCACAGGCACAGCTGAGCTCTGCCACCGCTCCCTGCTTGAGTGTGGCGATTTCACAGCAGGGCAAGGAAAGCTTCTGCGATTATTTTTGTTCGCAGGGTGCCAGATTTTCCCTTAAGTCTTTAAAATATTATTTTTTTTCCCAGATTCCTTTGCTGCTTTTATTTTTTTTCTTAGTCAGTGAATTCAGGGTTCACTAAAACAATGCCTTTGAGATCGGGCTCCTTTTGTACCTATTCATAAAAAGCACAGCCATTGCATTCATGCTCCCCCTACAACTTGGCCAAACGTAGTTGTGAAGCTCTTTCTTCTCAGGGTGAGAGCCCTATCCAGCTCTTCCCCAGCAAGGAATGCTGTAGGTCTAATTGTGGTGACTCTCCTTATGATGCAGATGCCTGGCTAAAGAGAAACACTGAACACAAACTGAATTCACAGGGGAAAACTGTGGTAGCCTCTTCCTGCAAAGACATCCTATTCTAACAGGTTTAGAGTGGCTTTGAACAGGACTTTGAAATTAGTAAATCTCTGTCCCCTCATAAAAAGCCATACTTAAAAGGACACTTGGAGATCTGGTGCAGTGATATGCGCGTTTAGATTTTGTATTCTGTAGAAAGTATCGCATTTCAGAGTTAAATGGCTATTCAGGAAGGCGTTGGTTTACAGGCTAAAAGACAGACAAGATTCTATGCAACCTCCATGCATAACATAAAACTAGCAAAAGTAATTATCAGTGCACTGCTTTTATGTTGAAGTAATCAGTGTCAGGGAACTGATTTTACTGCACTATAGTGATTAGGAAATTGTAAAACATCAGTTTTTGAAGCAGTCTTCATATCTTACACTTGTCCCTTCCTAAAGAAGTTTTCTGCAACTTTTGTTTAACTCAGCAGTAAGGAATGTCTTTCTAGTTTCTACAAAAATAAACACATTAAAGGAGACTCCAAGCAAAGATTGCTAAGTTACAAAGACAATCCACCACTGACTTCTGCTAAAGGGTCTGCAGGGAATTTAATTGCAGGAATGACAGGTTGCATCCTCAGGTACAATAAATGGATACTGAAGATTTTGTGATCGGTATCTTCTTCCTGAGAAGATGGGAGGATGAGTAGCCAGATGTATTGAAAACCAAATCTGTAGATAATATTAGATTTTTGAAAAATATATTCAAATCATAATGACATTGTTTTAATTTCAATTAGATATATTTGGAAGCACTGCAGTTCTGTAGAAACATATCTGGATTATCACATTTTTGGCATGTTACCAGACAAGATGACCTCAAAATCAAGCTGATTTCTGATTTTCCATCTCTCTCATAAAGATCAAGTTCATCTTAAGATGATCTTACACCACGGGCACCCAGTTCAGTCTGTGGTATCACAGACAGGGTAACAGTGTGTTGCTTTATTTACCATTTTTCTCTTCAAACCAAGGGGGAAATCAGCCCCTCAGCTTGCTGGATTTCTACCTCAGCTTTCCACTTTGAACCTGCCTGCAGGTCTCTGAGACAAAACTGGGGCACTCATGCAGCTTCTTGCAATCTTGTGCACATCCCAGTTTTTGCATTGGTCTTTTGGATTTACTACTGCAAAAATAAGAGTATATACAGAAAATTATTGAGGGCTAACTTCATCTTTTACTTCATTATAAAAGCAATTGAGTCTTGCTAAACCAGGAAAAGAATGGGCCAGTTTGATATCTGCGGGCCTCCAAGAAGTAGGCTGACCATGCTCTTCCCGGGACATTTCTGAAATGGGTTACATGGCTGATGGTGGTTTAGGGATGTGGTGTAAATGCCTGAAGTAACTAGGAAAATAAAACTAACATTCACACTTTTAAGGAAAAGGTACAGCATTGAAGAGGCTTTCAGGGTAGGGCATAACTGCATTATCTGAGCATTCCCTAGGCTCCCAACCTTAGATGCTATCGCGCTGGGGAAACTTGGTGTGCTAGCTCTAAGGAACACCACGGAGCGTAGAGTGGAGTGGAGACACCACGGCTAGGCTCTGTAATCAGGTAGGGCCTCAATTGTTCTTGTGCACAAAGCTGCACTTTTTGCCACCCTAAGCCAAAGACCTGTCATGTTTTGACAAATGCTGTACCCTAGTGTACTTTTTGCTCATTATAATATCATTATAATACCAAAACACACCTCCATCCCAAAAGCTACCCGCCTCCAAGGTGCGACCACCCCTCACTGAGCATGCGCTCTGAATTTCTCGGAGCCTATTACTTTAAACGGAGACGGGAAAACTTTACACCAATCATAACTAAGATATGCTTGACTAGAGCCACTCAAGCTCCACCTAAAAGATAGAAAATAATATAAATTGGCCCAAGAGAGAGGGGATGTTAGGGAAGATACCATCGTCAGGGGAGATACCATCCCAAGGACATACAACATCCTTAGGACCTCCTGACTCCTGGGATCAGTCGACGGGCTGAGCCTCTCTTCCCCCCCTATTGGGACGCCTTTGGGTGAGATCTGAATATTTGCTTATAAATCTCTATAGAGTCTTTGATCCTTTTAACGCGTTTATTTCTAGGCTGCGCACCTGTAACACCTAGAACACCTAGAACACCTAGAACACACACCTAGAACACACCTAGAACACACCTAGAACACACACCTAGAACACACCTAGAACACACACCTAGAACACACACCTAGAACACACCTAGAACACACCTAGAACACACACCTAGAACACACACCTAGAACACACACCTAGAACACACACCTAGAATACACACCTAGAACACACACCTAGAACACACCTAGAACACACCTAGAACACACACCTAGAACACACACCTAGAACACACCTAGAACACACACCTAGAACACACACCTAGAACACACCTAGAACACGCACCTAGAACACGCACCTAGAACACACCTAGAACACACACCTAGAACACACACCTAGAACACACACCTAGAACACACCTAGAACACGCACCTAGAACACACCTAGAACACACCTAGAACACACACCTAGAACACACCTAGAACACACCTAGAACACACACCTAGAACACACACCTAGAACACACCTAGAACACACACCTAGAACACACACCTAGAACACCTGTAACACCTGTAACACCTGTGTATTTCATGCATACTAGCTTGCTTTTGCAGATAGTCACTATCACCGGCAATCCAAAAGAACCTGATTATCTGTTGCTGTAATAAACCATACTTGATTGCATTGTGATAGCTCTCATTAATGCAACTAGGGTGAGGGTGGTTATCCGTGATAGTTCAGTGTTCTGAATCTAACCAGACCCCCAGACGGTTAATGCATTGTTGGTGAATGTCTGAACGGACCCCCAGGTGGTTAATACGTTTTTGGTGAATGTCTGAGCAGACCCCCAGTTTTGGTGAATGTCCGACTGGTTCAGTACTCTGAATCCAACCGGGCCCGTAACGGTTAATCAGCTACACCCCTTTAACGCGACAAGGGAACAGGGCAGCAGTTAGGACCATGGTGTGCATTTGGTTGGGAGAAGGGAAGAAAGCCCCAGAGAACTGCTGGAGAAAGCTTTTGCAAGAAACTGTGGGGAAAACTTGCCCCTCTGCTTGCTGCGTTTGGTGACATTTAGTACTTCTCGCCTGCAGCAAGCCGGAGAGTTTCCTGTTAGTACTTCCCCCTTGGAGCCTTGGAAGCAGAAGTTAATATTAAACTGGTTGCTGGGTGAACTGGGAGCAGCTGGGAATAAAGAAATCGCCATGACAAATTCTTACAGCCTGCTGGGAGCCGGGCCCTCAGGCCACAGCCGCTCCCAGGCCACCCTTGCATTTTCATCTGTGACTGATCTGTACCGAGTTACCAGCTCCTCTGAAACCCTTTTTCTCTCAAGGGTTTCACTGCTGAAGAAATTAGGGAAATAACAAGCTTTGCTTTAGTTTTGTCACACTGGCATGTCCGCCTTGGGACACTTCCTTTACCTTGTACCTGATTTATAATAGTCTATTAACCTGCAGAGGTTCTGCAAGCTGGTATTTACATCCTGGTATGTCGCCATACATGCTTAAGCTTTCTTCTAAATATTAAGTATACAAAAGATGTCCTAGGAACATGCAGAATCATATGTAACATTTTTTAACTGTTTATTTTATCTTTGTGTAAATAATAGTGTCTGGAACTGGACATCATGCCAGGACTGCTCTGTAAGAAACCAATCTAACCAACACGAAGGCCCAAAGAAGTTGCTCGTCTGTGATTTAATTTGTCTTTGAAGGCTTACATTCTTGCACTTTTATCAGCAGCTTTTCATGATCATTCTAATGGTTCTGAAATGACTTTCCAGATTATCTTAATGGCTTAGGTGATAGTATTTGATTAATTTCCAATAGGAAGTTTTTCTTTTATCCAGATCCTTCTAACATAAGATTGAACATATACAAATACTGTGTGGTTTTTGAAGTTGCATTTCAGTGTAGCATTGTATGAAAGCCGTACTGTGATGGAATTATGTGCACAAGATCAGTTTCTCGGTATTAAACAGACTCCTTCAAAAGGTCTTCCTGGTTCTCGCACAGCTCAGTGTTCCACTGAACCTCCTGGCTTTCTCATAACGGGGCTTTGTGGAACCGAGCTCACTGTCTGGCATCGATCACTGTGCCGCTCATCTCAGGAGAGAGTCAGCTGCTGGTCCCAGCTGTAAATGCGGCATGGACAACCTGGATCAAGGTCTTAATCTGATGTCAGCTGACATCTCTGTTATAACCAGTGAAGTTCTGATTAGCCTCGAGGCAGAGCTTGATAAACATGTAGTCAGTGAATGACTACAGACAAGACAGAGAAAGAACATTGCAACTCACAGAAGGAGAACTTAGACTATTATTTAATGCAAAGTAATACTTTTATTTTTCTTTTTTCCCCCACAACTCAACTATTTACTTCATGTCTGTTCAGTGACATAGATTTCTTACTCCTGGAGGTTTTTTTTTCAACTTTGACTTGGATAAAAAGGGA